GCCTTATAATCTTGATCTCACTCTCCATTCGAAGATTTATATCTTTCATGGTCTCCGTTCTCGTCTTTCGAGTCAAGGCGGAAGGTTGAACTAGTTGTGAAAAATATACTTTTGTTGGATCATGTGATCAGGAAATCGTGATTTTTGCCCTTAGAAAATGTCGCGATAGCAGGGTTTTGTTTTCATCCGTTTTTTGAATCATGTGAGCCTACAAAAGACATAGCCGCCCTCCTTTGAATTCCAGGAAGCAAAAGGTTGGATTGTATTCTGGTCGTAGTGGACCCGAGATTTCATGGCTGTGCGCCACTTATTGAAATTTGATGCTATTACTATTATTTTCAGCCTGAAAACGAAGAGTTGTTCCACTGATTTCTCTAGACCATCTTCACACCCCCCCCCGCCCAACCTTTATGAAAAAACCAAATTTGCTTAAAGGGTCACGCGTCGACCTGCCAAAAACCCGCCTCGACCCCGGGTGGCCTATTTGCCAGTGTTTCTTGCAGACGAAGTCGACTACTATTTGCCAATGGTCCAACGGTGGGGCCTAGAGCAAGGCCAATTCTTCCTTTCGCAACAGAATGCCTTCCCGAGAACATTTAGTCACTGTTCAAACAGCGATTCGGAGCCCCTGGGGGTTTATTCAATTGACTTTAAAGATAATTTATTTGCGCTGCTTGATCTGTGAGCTTCTCCTAATTGCGAAATGAGGGCGCGTCGACTATAAAGATCGGGCTGCATTGGGTGCGCAGGTGGAGTTCGAAATCTTTAAGTTTAGAGTTTGAAATTGAAGACAACAGCCATTAGCTGTCCTTTTTAAATTCAGGCATTACAAATTCAGCCGTAAAATAGAAATACCTTCGATCAGCAAAATACACTTATCTATATCCGCAGCCCCTTATTTTTCCCATATTCCATAACGCAGCATCGTACAGCCAATTCATTCCATCAATGCTCAGACGCCGTCTGCAGCAACCCCCCAAAAATGACAAAGAAAATGGATCTATTTGAGGAGAAACCCGAGCCGTGTGCAACATTCTATCTGATGGGCGGAACATAGGTGGCCCCCGGCTCGTTCCTTGTTCTCCCCCCTTTTATTCCTCTCATCACCACTACACGCAAATTTTTAATAAAACCTGCCCTTCCCAGACTTTCCACCCGCTTTCAAAAACCTATCAAAGCATAATATTTTTGCGTGAAAAGCTGCCAAAAACAGGCGAACAATGTTTTTTTTTTCCGGGGGCGCCTGCCCAGGCTTCATTTGATTCAATGATTCACACGGACACCTCATGCCCCAGGAATTCTTTATTTCTTATACTGCTTCGATTCCTCGTGGTTGGATGTAATGTAATTTCTTTTTTCAGGTTTTATTTGTTCAGCCACCAGCTTTGGTCCCTCGCCGTCTCGACCGTCATTTTCATCCTGGACTCTGGGTTAGGGTATGTTTTAGCGATTCATTGATCTTGTTGGTCCCTCCTTGCTGCCATACTCCTCTATTTTCCTCCTTCTTTCCCCCGCGATGTTTTGTTGTTATGAGGGTTGTGTTTGAGGAAAGTCGATTTTTGGCGGCGACACAGAGAGTCTCGCCTGGAAACAGAGACCATTCAGCGGCTAAATACTAGCCGGAGAATTTTTTCTCGTTTTGTGGCCACCTTGTTGGCCCTCCCTTGTGCTTCTCCGTTCTTTTACGAGGTTGGCACCTGTGGCCTCTGGTGTCAAAAATGATTAATTCTATTCCGGACCTCCATCTTGCTTTCGCTCTCCCCCATTTTCTACCCCTAACCCGAATGTCATTTTGTGCCCAAATGAGCAGACACAACCCATGAGGAACTGGATAGCATTTAATGACGTTCCCGACCGCGCCGCCTTTTCCATTAACTTGCAAATTTTTAATGGGTATTTCCGGATTTCAGATTTTTCCGTCTCTTTCATTGGATTTCCCTGAATTAAACATGAAAAGATACAGGGTTAGGCGGAATTTGAGTTTCTTAGGAGATTTCGGGGGATTCGAGCGAGGGCCACATTGGCTGATCCAAAAATGAGGTCGACCCAGGGCTAGGAGAACCGGAAATTCGTTGTTCCTCCCCGTTTCCCCCAACCCTCCTCTTGCGATCAATGTGCAGTTTCAGTGTGTGGACAGCATAAAAAGCTAACAACAACAAAAGGGGGGTTGCAAAAGTTGTTTTCAATGCTTTGAGCGGTTGATTCAATTCGCATTATATTTTAATAACCATATTTTATCTAAAGACCTTGTGTGGCTATTTGTAAAGGTTAGCGGTTGTCCTTTCGAAAGGCGACATGTGTTTTGCTACGTAAATCGGCAGGTGTCAGGTATTTCTGTATGGCAAAACGGGCAGCCGGTTGCGCTGATTTTTACGTGACTTCATGCGATTTTGGGTTTAATCCGAATAGGAAGTGAACTAGTTTTTAGTATGTTTTTCGGTCTGGGGTTGGAAAGCTTTCTTCAAAACGCTTACTGGATATACGATATTTATTTGTCTACAATTGCCAGAACTAATCGTTATATTTCAGATTTGATATCTATGAGTTTGGGTGTAAATAGCTAGTCAAGTGTTATATTGTGGGTTGCAATGTGTTGCAGGTCGAGTGGAATGTGTGGGGGAGGCAAGCAATGACTAGCGGGGGGCCCCTTGGGCCACAGCTGTATGTCGGGTTGTCCGTTTGTCTGTCTGTCTCTCTTTCTATGTGTATGTATGTGTGGGTCTCTCTCTTCTACCCTCCAGCTCGGTGGCCCATTTTTGGGCCTTTCGGGTGGTCGCCCCCCGTCGTTCTCCTAGGGCCCCTCCAGGCTCTCCCTCCTTCCTTATCCCAAGCACCGCTCTCCTCTTTTTGCCATTCTCTTTTCGACATCATCCATTTCGACATCCATGCGTCGGCTCATCTGAAATCTCGCCCCTCGAAACAGCTCTTCCTCCCTTTCCATTCCCCCACCTAGCCCTTCCCAAAACATCCAATTTATCATGCTCCTCTGCAACCAGGGTAGTTCCGCGTTGGGACAGCTTGCCATTGGAAATTATTTGCTTGGATTGCTACTGAATTCAGGGCGTTTTTGCTAAAGATCAACCACTCTGCGTTATTCTTAGGGAAATAAAGCAAAAACAAACACAATAAATGCCTTTGTTGGAATTGATCATTCGCCCTCAAGCCTAAACGCCTAAACGTAATTATATTAATTCTATTATAACCCTAATAAAGCCTCAATTTTCAGCTGTTTTTATGCAGACAGGGAACTTCATGATTGTTTTTAGACTTTTTTAAACAGTTGCTCAACTGCTTTGCCGCTTTCATTCCTATTCGTCCGGTCAAAAAATAGTTCCTGGTTTGCTTCGTCGAATCCAGACATCCAACCTCTTCCTCATGCCCAATGAACCACAATAATGCCCTTGCTATTTGCCAAAATAGAGCCCATGGCACTGGCGCCATTTCCGCTCGCCGCCCTGCCAAATCTGCTGGTTCTTCCATGAAAAACCTCCCGTCCTTTGAAGCCCTAAAAATTCGACGAAATCGGGGGCCCTGGGCCAAAGGAAACGGGTGCTGCTTTTGGAGGGGGCCTCGGGAGACGGATATTGAGCAATTAGTCTAAAGGAAATGGGCAGCTAGGCCGTTTGACTGGTTCCTTGACTGGCATTAGCCACCACCCCGTCCCTTCCTACTACCCTAAAACAGCCGGCGACACCCATTATTCCATTTTGGGCCCCAAGAAGGGGAGGAGGTGGCCCATTCGATTCTTGCCAAACCAGACGAAGCCGCCTTGTTATGGAGATTCCTTCCGCTCGATACCCAATTCCCTTCGCTCACCCCTTCCATCTATTGGCTTCCATTTAGCGAAACCCTATTTCCCGCATTCCGCTATCCTATAACTTTTTTAATATCGCCCCCAAAAAACTTGTTGGCTTCTCTAGTTAATAGGCTTCCAAAGCCACACAACGGCAATCGCTCCCTTTTTCGTTGCTCCTTTTTTGTTGGGTGCGGCTTAGCGCCCGCAGAAGATCGAGCATGGAAAACAAAGCTTTTGTGCCTCCTGCACAGGTCATGGTTGTTTTGGCTTTGCGACTACCTTTTGAATCCCGCATGCCTCTGTAGATTTCGATGTATTTGTGGTGGTGGGGTAATGTTTAGTATGTTTGAGTTCTTAGTGGGGTTTCTGGTCCTTTAGCGTATTGTTTTGGTCTTCATGTGGTTTCATTAGGTTTGAGTGGTCCTATGAAATCTGAAAGAATTTGAGAAGAGCATGAAACTAAGTAGTTTCGAAAAATTAGAAAATGAGCCGTTATTTGTATTTTTTTATCGGTTCTTTTCCCCATGGCATTTTACTGAATTTTTAGTCTGTTTGGAGGGTTCCTTCGAAACTATAATTTTTCAATAAATATAAGCGATAGAATAAATATTCACTTTCTATCATTCGTTTCCATAGATCGATTTTGCTAAATTTAGAGCAGCTTTTTTCAATTTTTTTAATATTAGCTGATCTGTAACTGCTATGTGTAGGTTCATTTTTATTTATCGCTTCTAGTCCTTTCAACTATTTTTGGCTTGCATTCCAACCTTTAATCTCTCCGCCTTTTTATTGCCATCCCAACCTCTCTAAGAACCCAATTTGCCGAATCACCACCCATTTTTTACATGCCGATCCAAGCAATAATCCGACCATCACGAGCCACCTCATCAGATGGCGTGACGTGGCCACGGCCCTAACCATGCCTCCCACTCCTAACTATTCTCAGCGGCTTCTTATCTCCCTTTCGCATTGTTAGCACAAAGCCCTGCTCGTTTCAAACGGTCATAAAAAAGAGGCGAAGCTGGGTCCGCCCAACCAGAAGCTCAAGAAATCAAAGCCGGGTTTAGGCGCCGGTGATTATAAATTCAGCTTCATTATCCTTGGTCCGGTTCTGTCTGATTTTTGCTCCCATTGTGCGGCGCTACCATTAGAGTGCTTTCAATATTATACCTGTAATTGAATTTTTTTTCTTTCCAGGCATGTCATGTGGCACTCCAACCGGGCACCCACAGACAACCCATTTCGCCTCACACTCTTCATCCTCATCTTTCTTATATATGGGTGTAAGTTATTGCCATTTTTCGATGGAATTATAGTGATTTCAATCTCAGACTAGTTTTTCTCAACTTGAAACGTCTTGAAAGTGAAAAGAATTCTTGACATTTTTCTTAAACGGGTGAAAACAAGTTTTTGAAAGAGCTAAAAATCATAGCTATGAATCTTTTTTTCAGCATTACCGGTCGTAAAGGCGGATTGTGTACTCTACGACACGTGCCATACGGTAAAGCATGGGACGGAAAAATTGAGCTTGCCCTGTACAAAAAGCCCGGCATCCCCGTCGAAGCCTCTCGATGGTGCCAGCCAGAAGAAGCTTGCCGCCCTGTGTCCTCACTTGTTTTCTGGTACGCTGATAACAAAACGACAAGGGGGGGGGGTTGCCCTTTTGGCACGCGTCTTAAAAAACCTATTTGCGGAGTGATATTTTCAACAAAGGGTCCAGTGGGGTTTGAGAAATCAAAATCCATGAAGTGCTAACATTTTGGCTTGTAAACAAAAAAAACAGAAGGAAGTATTAAAGGCTATGTGTTAACGTAGACATGGGCTTATATTAGAGAAAACCACGGCAGTAAACAAAAGCTACCTAAGTTTCTGCCCATTTGCGATAATTATCCCTTCCGGAAGTGACGCGCTAGCCCATTTGACCTAATACTTCCTGGTTCAGATGGCCCCAATCCATCCCTTTGCTGCTCGTCGACTCAAGTGGATGTGCTGGTCAACCAGATGAGCATGCCATCCCAAATATTGCAGCGATGCGACTCGTGCGCCGACAATTTCATCAAAATGTGGTGCGATTTCACGTGTCACCCACGACAACACGAATTTATACAGGTGCTCCGAAAGTTGCAGCCCCTAATACTTTATTTTAGGTGTTAAAAACGAATTCAAGTCAGCCGGGTAACGCGTCATATGTGGATACGGTTAAATTCGAGCTGCCGGCTGATTTTGGTCACGGGATGTTCGAGTCGTGCAAAAATGTGAGAGACGTTTTTAATTAACAGCCTTCAAACACGCGGCGTCATCGCTCAATATTGAATTCCAAGGATTTAATTCCGCACACGGCAAACCTGAAAAAAATGAAGGACCGATTTCTCGGACGAAAATAGCAGAAGCAGACTAGGTTTTTGTTATTTCGCATTTTCCAGGTACGCTTTATGCAAAGCCGAGCCCTCGATCTAATGTGTGGAAGTGGCGATGGCGATTGTACCCTCAACAAATGGCTGGATTTTATGGGAACCAAGGATCACACCAACCATATCCCCTTCAACATTAAATTTCAATTAAATGTAAGCCAACCCCATAATATCTAATTCCCCCCTCTAGCGCAACGCATCCGTCCCCTCAACCAAAACAACACCTTGCAACAAAAAAGCCCGGGCTGGCAAACGGCCATGCTCATGCACAGACTGTGAACAATCTTGCCAAGCAAAAAACACTGATCTCAACTGGATTTTTAGGGAACAATCAAAGGTATGAGTTTCCCCTCTTGCAACTTCATTAGCGTACATTCCTTTAGCGATGCTTCGAGATGATTCCGCTCGAATGCTACCCACTGGCAGCAGCCTTTGTGGCTGTATTAATCCTGTTGTTTTTCGTTATTGTTATCCTATGCAACAAATGGCTTCCATTCCTCCGGGCTCGCAAGGGCATCCAAGAGGTAACGAATTCGAACGCCAAACACGCAAATTAATTTCCAGGAGCCAATCATGGAAGCCAGCTATTCGTGTCTACCGTATATGGGCAAATATTTGGAGGATTATTTAGAGAACAAGGCCAGAGAATATGGAAGAGTAGGAATGCAATTCTTTTTTTATAGTTGATTTTAGACTGCCTATCATAAACCACTACGGGTACTAACTTTTGGCGGCCTAGTTGCCTTGTTATTCATCGTCCCCATCTATCGTCTAAGCTTTTCGGAAGAGCTTGTCGATCTCTGGTCGGTTCCACAAAGCCGAGCGCGTCTCGAGAAGGAATATTACGACACTAAATTCGGGTACTATAGTTTAAGTGGTGGATTAATATTTTTAGTCCTTTCATGCGAACAGCACAGTTGAGCATCTACCCTCAGAAATTCCCAGCTGATCAAGCTGCCGGGCAAAACCTTCGGGCCGCTAACGGAGAGATGTTCGGTCCAGCCTTTCGGAGGCCATTCTTAGAATATGTAGGCTCCAATCTTTCAAATGAACCTCTCTTTACTTAAGGCTTTCAAACTTGTTGCGGGTATCCACGAAATCTCAGCTGAAATCTGTCTGGATACCGAGGCTGAGCAAGCCAAGAACGGGTTTATCTGCAAGAATCTAGTCAATGTAACGTTGAATGATGTCTGTATCAAGCCAATGGGCCCCACCGGGAACTGTCTGATCATGGGCCCTACTTCGTATTTCCAGGTATATTACATGAAAGCCATTCTTTATACAATGTTTAGAATGACATCGCGAAATTGGACCACAAACCACCAGCAGCCACTACTATCGCCCCGGCAGATGATATGTGGGATTATTATGACGACGAGCCAGCAAAAGCCCAGGAATTTTCTTATTTGGATCATATCCAGGATTGCATACGGTAACGAAAGTCCCTTGTAATACTATCAAAAATTAGGAACCCAATGAATCTTCGCACTCGATTCGGCTTATCCTGCTTTGGTGAATATGGTGGCCCGATTCAGCCGGAATTCGTCTTCGGGCATGATGATGTAAGCAAATCCCCTAAAACACAAAAATACCGATTCCAGAAATCACTAAACACCTCCTTTGCGTTGGCCATGTTGATCAATTTCCCATTAATGAGTGAGAAGCATAATCTGCCCAAAGTGTTGGCATGGGAGAGGGAATATTTGCGATATATGCAGCAGACGCCACACGATTCTTACACAATCTCCTTTATGGCAGAGCGATCTATTCAGGTTGGTAATACCTTAAGGGCTTGTCCTCCTTTTTTCAATGTCTTCATACACATATTTCCAGGACGAGATCGAAGCTGAGACTCGCTCGGATGCCGTTTTGATTGTAATGGCTTATATCCTAATCATTGCTTATGCCTGCTTTGTCCTTGGCCAGGTAAGGAGTCCCGAAAAAACCCTGAACTTTTTTAGTATGACGTGACAAACAACCAGCTAAGCTCGCTGATGAATCAATCGCGTATGCTGATGGGATTCCTTGGCCTATTTCTGGCCGTCCTTTCGGTTGTCAGGTAGAGAATGGTATGAAGGCAAACCCCTTTTTTAGTTCAATGGGTCTATTCGCCATGTTTGGAGTGAAACCAACCAGATTGTTGCTCTTGATCGTGCCATTCATCGTCATAATCATTGCATATAATAATATTTTTGTGTTTGTTCGTGCATACCAGGTAGGAATCATTTTTTTATGCTCTAAAAGCTATTTAGCGCACTCGATTCGAACATAAAGAATTGGAAATTCGGATCATCAACCTTTGTGGTTATCTAATTCCTTCCTTTGTCTCCAGCACAGCTTCAACTGTAGCATGTTTTGGATTGGGTACTAAAGCCATTCACTCCTTTTTACATTCATTCAGGTTATCTATCCGGGGTCGCGACAGTATCAAATTTCTCAACTTGCTGTGCAATTGCGCTAGTCTTGAACCTCTACTTCCAAGGCACCATCTTTTTGGTGCTTTTCATTTGGGACAGCAAGCGAGCAGAAGTGGGTTCAAAAAGCTTGGGAAAACTTCCAATATTCAGGCCGGTCGTCCTGAATTTTGTTGCTGGCAGAAGATGTTCCCGAATCGCTTAATTCACAACGGCTATACCATTCTGTTGTTCAGAAACTTCTGGTCGAAGGTTTTGCTCTTCGGCTGGGTGCGAGGGCTTGTGGTAGGCTCTCTTTGAAAAAATCTAGTTGTCATTAGATAACCCTTTTTGCCATCTGGACACTGGCATCAGTGTACGCAATGCAGTTTATGGTAATCGGGATGGATCCACGAATTCCGCTGCCTGACGGTTCTTATGTCGTCCGACATTTCGACGCAATGGAACGATTCCAATCGTTTGGACCACCAGTGTATTTTGTTGTGAAAGGAGAGGTAATATCATACGAAAAAAAACCGGATACTAATTTTAATCTCTAGTTGGACTATTCTGATCCAAAAGTACAATCGGCTCTTTGCACCGCTGGCGGCTGCGATCCTCAATCGTTAGGAAATCTGTTGAGAGATGCCAGTCAACTTCCTGCAAGGTAATTAGTTTCAGCAAGGTTTTATAATGCCCTTTAGTACCCTAATACCATTTGGTGGACTGAACTGGGTGGACGATTTCATGGACTGGCAGGATGTCGTGGGAGATCCACCATGTTGTCGAAAAGACGAGTACGGGCACTTTTGTCCAGCGTCGAGCACAAATCCGAATTGCACATACTGTGGAGCCGGGGAGGATCAGTTCTATGAACGCGTCAGCTACTTCAAGACTGACATCCCGGGAGAGAAGTGTCCTAGGGGGTAAGTTTTGGTCTTTTAAGGAAACTAGCACTTTAATCCAAATTTTCTATCCTCAACCAGTAGGCTTTCTCTAGAAAATGCAGCCCTAAATTACGATATTTCAGTGGAGCAGCCGCACACGGTGGTTCGATTTCTATGAAACGCCCGGGCGGCCGTCGGCACATCGATGCTTCTCATTTCATGGCATTCCACAAGAATCTCGCCACTAGCGCCGACTTCATCGAGGTACCTTGGCCCATAACCACTTCACGAATTTCTAGGCGGTCTCGGCTTCACGAAAACTGGCCAACACGCTCGAGTCCAATCTTCGAGTTGCAACCGGAAACTATGAAGTTGAAGTGTTCCCATACAGCATCTTCTACGTGTTCTACGATATGTATCCAGAGCTTGTCTCCGATGCAGTCAGTCGGATCATTGCGGCGATGGTTGGCATCTGGCTGGTTATGTATATAATTCTAGGTATGTTTGTAGATAATAAGAGCTGTAACTATATAATGCGTCATCCCCAAACTAAATAAATATTTTTTTAGGATTCGACTTCACCACAGCCACGTCGGTATTGATCTCTATCATGGCGGCTACAATCAATGTATTCGGTGCCATGAGTATCTTCCAAGTCGAACTGAACCCATTATCGCTGGCAAATATTTTCATGGTAATAAGTTTACTCCATAACACACTTCCGATTTAGTCAATTGCTGTCGCCGTTGAATTCTCAGCACCCGTGGCTAGAGCTTATAAGCACAGCAAACAGAAGAAGCGTAATGAGCGAGTTGAAGAAGCCATAGTCAACGCGGGAAGCTCGGTAGGAATTCCCTCTCAAAGTTATACCTTTTTTTCAGCTATTCTCTGGCCTATTTCTTTGTATGTTCGGAGGTAGCATTGTACTCGCATTCGCTCATGCGCAAATCTTCCGGGTAAGTCACTAAAAAAGACCTAATAATGTTGCTCTTTACAGATATATTACTTCCGTATGTTCTCAACAATTGTCTTTGTCGGGATGCTCCATGGGCTCGTGCTTCTGCCCGTCATTCTCTCATTTGTCGGCTCCAATCACAAGCCTTTTGTCAGCAGTCCTCGTTTCGGCCAGGAATGTTTCGATTTCCTTACCACGCATCTACGCAAGAAAGAACAAGGTACATTGCGTTGCCCAATAATTTACTACTACTATTTTAGCCATGCATACATCCAGCTCGACAAGGCATTCTGCCTCCCCCACCCCACATTCCTTCCGCAACGATCAAAACCGACGGGTTGTCGCCGCTATGCCAATCGAGTAGGTCCCCAACTACATAAATTAGCCGCTAAACAATTCAAATAATATCACTGAAAACAATAAACAATGTGGTTTAGAGAAGCTCGCCCGTTGATCAACTACGCCTTGTTGCCGCCCCTCGCCCCATCGACACACTTGCCGCATAGCAGCAAAGACATGTAAAACTTCCATTTACATACATATAACTGAAAATTTTAGTTTCAGACAGACCCCTCAGGGTAACCAATCTCCAATCACCGAAGTACACCGGTCTCTGCCACATATCATTCAATGATTTCTGCATAGTGTTGTGCTCTTTCTCACACGGGTTTTCTTTCAGTTGTGTTCCTGTTCTTTTGTTGCTAGCCATACTGGATCATTTCAAAGCTTTTCGGGTAAAATACAATTTGGGTACCTCTCCACGTGCCTTTCCTGTAACTTATTGCTAATCATTGGGATGTTCTTTTCGTGTAAATAAACGTGTTTTACGTATAAAACTATTCCGCCACTTCGATTCCCCGCCGGGCCGATGGAATCCATCCGAAAAAGGCCAATAACAAAGAAATTGCGCCATTCGTTTTCAAATCACCTGTTTATTCAACACACGGATACATATTAAACACCGAGATCTAATGACACATAAGCACGAATCAAAAAAGTTTCTAGTTCCAAAATTAAGGATTCGCACAGGAAAGTATTTAGACATGGGGTTCATATCGAAAGGGACATTATAGCAACAAAAAAGTGAAAGACTACCCGGTTAAAGATATTTCTTCTCCGTTCCGTGGCCGAACCGTGTTCCCAAGCCCGCAGCATGCTCCTTCAGTTCAGCAGCCGAAAGATCTTTGAGGCCAACCACCTAAAGCAAAAATAATAATAAGAACTATTCCGATTACCTTCATCTCGGTTTCTCGGTCCCATTCCTTCCGGCCGCCAGGTCCTGACACTACAGAACCAGCTGCGGTACCTCCGGCCTTTTTCGAATGTTGCACAATCAATGACTCTCCCCGAACAGCCTATAAAGCGACAGAATAAATAAAGCAATGATCAAATAACTTACATTCATTTGACGGACAATCTCCTCCTGTGCTAAATCTTGAGCAGATTTCGGCTTGACCGAGGGCGTAGCAACCTCCCCGCGTTCCTCCTTCCGACGCTTGTCTTCAGGAGTCTCTAGCCAATCGTCAGAGACTTTCGCAATTCCACGCTTAGAAAACTAAATGATCGTGAAAATAAAGACAATCAATAATCACAAAATACCGTTTTGGCCCCGAAGCCGTAGTGCGTATTTTCCGGAAGGCTCAGCATCCACTCGTCTCGTTTTCCCTTGGCATCCTGAAAAATCAGTTTCGAATCGAAAAACTACAACACATTGTTTATACGAGCCTCGAAAACAAAAAATGAGGTTGAAAAACACACCTTACTGGCTTGTTCTTGCTCGAAGTTGTGACGTCGTTCATAATAAGAAAGTTCTTCGAGCTCCTTATTCGAACCCGGAAGCTGTGGTCCAATACAATCGTCATCATCATAGTCATCGTTTGTCTAAAAAAACTAATTAGAAAGATTTGCAAGAGCTACCTGCCGGGGAGGGGCCGACGATGATGCCTTCACGTCGGGAAGAGAATCTTCGGCCGTTGAGGGCGTCGTGAGAGGAGCAGAGAAGTTCGCGGGAGGAGGGTCCCATCACGGGTACATCACCTTCATCATCTAAAAAAGAGATTGGGCAAACGCAAAAATATGTCTACCAGACTGTGTTGTATCTGGAGAGGAACGGGCTTCAGCCACCAGATGACTCGGCAAGCTTGGCCCGATCATACCCAAGCCTGAAAAAAAATTGTTGCGAAAAAGCACAGCGTTTGAGAAAGAAAGAGGAAACGCAAAGTCAGAATGGAAAAACGGAAAAGCCTTTTTGGAAATAACGGGCCACGAAAGAAAGGCGGAAGAGCAGCAGCAGAACCTTATCGGCATCTGCATGTGCGCGGAAAACAAGGTGCCGCACTAATGAATATGAAGAAGTGATAATATACTATAAATAAGGGATAAATTGATTATATACAATGTTTAGCTAGTTGCCTGAAAAATGAGCGAAAAACTAGATTTTCAAATTCAAATTTGCAAGATTTCCCAATGCAGAAAGAAATCCGTGAATTCTAAGAGGTAAACGAAACACGGCCGAGCAAACTACAATGAATCTTCTTTCAAAAATAGCAATGAAAGGATTTTCCCTTGTATGTTGCAAAAAAGGTGTCGTTCGTCGAAAATGTTTTCTTTTCTTATAGGCAGCACACATTCTCTATACATTGAAAATGATTCAATTCGCTTGATTGGCTCGGATGCCGCCTGGCGTCCAAAAGACGAAAAAAGGTTGATTTGGGCGACGCGGTTGCTAGATTGGGGGCCCGGGCAGCCCTAAAAAGACACACGCATGGCAGGGGCAACGACATCCGAAACGGGGGAACGCATGGAGAACTACGCGGCGCGATCGCCGTCGCATGAAGAGAACAGAACAAAGAGGAGGGAGGTACCCTACCACAAGGTTCGTGTAGTCAAGATCGACGCGAATCGACAGGGCCGCGGAGTCGCTGATTCGCCGGGCCGCCCCTTCCTAAAGTGCCCGTCTTTCCCCGCACCAGCAGCTCAGCCCTCTTTCCGTTGCGCTCCTCTGTGGCCTGTTTCCGTGTGTCTCTGTGCCCTCTAATCAATCAGCTGCGGAGTGTGACCGGCGGCGAGTCAACGGCTCGTTCCCGCCCCCCTCCTTGTGGACATTATTCGCTCGGCCTTCTCCAACCTTATAAACGGCCCCACCCCGGCGACGGCCTCGACGAGCAACGTCGGCCCTAACGCTTACCATGGCGCCCAACCATCGTCCAGGCCCGCGACGCTCCGAGCCGTCCACGTGGAGTTTACGTTTTCTAATTCTTTTTTTTTATAGATCTATAGTAACCCTTAGTTCATTTCCATCATTGGTCAAAAAAACTGGGGGCTGGTAGTGGGGAAACTTGATGTTTAACACCTTGACAACGAAATCTCAACCCGGGTAACAGCTGTTGACCCCAATGCCCTTCTTGTAAACGGTTGGCCGGGGCAAAGTTTCGGCAAAATGTCAGTGACCCCTGGGTGAGTACGTGCTAGATACAACCCTAAATAAAAGGAATTGAGCTTGCAAATACTAAAAGCGCAAATTGTCGTTAATTTGGAGTGCCATGCGAACTGTAAGAACTTACGCTACAGGGGTGAATGACCAGTATTTGAAGACGCTGTAAATCAGCACTTTTTTCCTAGAGTTACACCTTTACCTTACTGCCAGCCGGTCTGAACAAGCAACCGGAAGAGGTGTTCGATATAGTGTGAAAGGCTCAGCGCGCAGGGGATAAGGTGCCCAGTAATCTAACCTTCGTTCAACACTTATTGTTCAGTTCTTATGGAGCCGTCCACATGGCAATACATAAGACGACCCAACCACACTTTAGCCCATCAAGAAAGTACAATGTCGACACTGATTTACAGGTGATTTCCCTATTGGTCGCCCTCGACACCACACACAACATCAGAAGAGCTCATATAAGTTTGCTGTTCATTTAGGGAAATCATCAAAAAGAAATCAGCATCATGCAACAATGTGATTAGCAGATATGTAGTCAAATACTACGGGTCGTACTTGAACCTACCGATTTATGGGTAGGTCTATAAATACTACAACCCCGCTTGGGAAATGGATACAGATCGTGATGGAATATTGCGGGGCTGGCTCGTCTCTGGTACTTATGCGACTACGACGCAAAACATTAAACGAAATGGAAATTTCGTCGGTCCTAAGGGATACTTTGAAAGGTTAGAACTTAAATTTTAAATATAGCTTTTAACCTAGGGCTGCAATACCTTCACGGCTTGAAGAAGATCCACCGAGATATCAAGGCTGGAAATATCCTATTGACGATCGACGGGCACGCGAAATTGGCCGATTTTGGGGTGGCTGGACAGCTGACGGTAAATAGTCAAAAATTACTATTACTGTCTTCAGGATACGATGGCAAAGCGGAATACGGTAATCGGGACACACCATTTTGGATGGCTCCGGAGGTTATCGAGGAAATTGGTTATGACACGAAGGCCGATATGTGGTCCTTGGGAATCACGGCTATTGAAGCTGCTGAGGGGAGGCCACCATATGCTGAAATCCATCCAGCTCGAGGGTAAGTCAAACAGTTTTAGATGTAAACCGTATTGTGTGTATGCAGCTGTCTGTGGTGCGCATTTGCATACAACATCGTGACTAGGGCCCCAGCGAAGCCTTTTTCGGAGGAGGAGAACGGCCATTGGGTGTAGAATGGACCGTGGACGTTTGCCGGCATATCAGATTTTGACAAAATACCATTTTCGCTATTAAAATTAGATTTTTGTAGGGTCCTCTGGTTAGGACAAATTAGCATACACCGAAAGGGGATAGCCTATAAAAAGGAACAGGCCTTTTTCACTATTCACTTGAAAAGGCGTGAAGCGGTTTTTCAACTTTGATTTGACGTAAAATTTTTCAATAGTAATGTATTAGAAGCAATCTTTTACAGGCGATCTTCATGATCCCTACAAAACCACCACCAACTCTCAAAGAACCAGGCGATTGGATCCAATCCATGAATTCAACGACTTCGTCCCCGCTGTCTACCTGTCAAAAAACCGGATGAGCGGGCAACAGCTGCCGAACTACTCAAACATCCGTTCATCGGTTTGTGCACCAACGTATGATTCACCATCCCGCATGTCTTCAGTAAAACGCTGAGGGTCCAGAATCTTAGAAGAAATTGATTCAAGACGCCACAGGACGTTGCCGAGGCAAAAACATACAGCTGCCGCACATATGGGCCTGGTTTGTCGATGAGGAATGGATTCGAGGTTGCTGCTAAGGATGACAGCGAATCACATTGCCGATGTTGCGGTGGAGGATGCTACTAAGTGATATCGTTAGGAGATGATGGGACTTTAGTTCAACATCCAAGCAATGGCTGGTATGTTCGAATTTTCTTTAGTTGCCGAAATGTTTAGCTTATCAAACTGCCGAATCGTTGAAGCCACAGCTCAGTTGTTATGGGTTGGCGGAAGGGTGCCTATTAGCGCACGAGGTAAGATGAGCTTTTAATCATTCTGCATCGGCTTTTACTTTGAATTTCTTTTCTTGTTGTGACACCTCAATTTTGCAACACGCGCGCATACGATTCGTTGTGAATCCCCATGTCAAGAGGGTACGACTCAAAGGAATGTAAACCCTGCGTTGGTGCACACATGTTGCTTTTTAGTGCCACAAGCACAATATGGCAACGGCAATGGCCCCCGGCCCCAATATAACGAAGCCCTGATGTCCTCCACCAAAACCAGGAGACACTCGTCAATTAAGTGCAGACAAAACATACTCTGCGGTTGGCGATCAGCATGACACTATGCCCTCATCACATACATCTCAGACGAGTAAGTGGGATCTTTAAAATACAATCTCTATATAAAAACGTCTGGCTCTAAAAGATATATGAAAAGTTTGTCGGGAATCTTTTTAGTGCACCCAGCCGCATACCACTAAGTTGTCCCTTCAGGAGAAAACTTCGAATTCGTAAGTCGCATCATGAAGCAGGTAGTTGATCTTAAAATTCGTGCTCCGTGCTCTACTGCTGCAGGACCACCGATCGCCAAGCGGGATAATCGCGAAAAAGAGATGGATAAGGAGCTGGAAGAGCTCCGCCATAGATAAAATAACTGCCCTATTAATCACGATCTTTAATTTAAAGGCCTGTATTGTTATGAATATGTTACAAATACTGATTTAGGTACCAAATCAAAGCGCTGACAACTGATCTCGATGTAATAAATGCGAAAACCAGCCATCATGATAGTAATTAAGAAATGTTATTGCGTAGTAATTACTTTCCCTATTCTTCGATACGGCTCCGTCTCAACTCTCTAACCCTTGCCCTTTGTTCGTTAAGCTGGAAGATTACATGTGCATTCCCCTCAAAAAGTCAAACTGTACCCCGTGGCTTTTTGCCTAGCTGCTAGCGGCTAGCCTCCATTTTCAGTTCCATTTCCGGTTTTTTGCCATTTGGCTCTCATTCCCCAAAAAAAATGGGTAACTTATGACCGAAACTTCTTTGGTATTCGACCGAAAGCAAAATCTGTGGCGTAACTGGATCGTTATAGATCAACGTTAACTCAACACTTTGACCCTTTGACCTCAGTAATTTTGTAATAAGTCTTTTGTATTAATCTTGCATAGCCAGCCCTTTTCTTTTCTTTTCATGTAAAACTCGATTCACTATTTGGTGCCGTCACAAGCAATTAGTCCATAATTTTGTATACTCTAACACCCTGCACCCTCTTCACTTTACCTAGTTGAAAACGAAAACTGATCGAAATGTGATACTTTTTTTTAATTGGTCCGTGCTTTCCGCGTTTCTCGTTCGTTTTTTCGGCACAATAAAATGATGACAATCCGTGGGGTGGTGCGCAATATGGGTGGTGGTTCATTCGGGCGTGGAAAAGGGGGGAGAGCTGAAAAATAAACAGTGCCAATGCCCGGGCCTATTGAAAAGGGGCCCGTTATTAAATAGACATTTTTTTGGTTTAGCGCCGTGGCAAAATCAGTGTTGTGGTGGGGACAAGTTTAGGCGGGCAGCATCCGGTCGTTTTTTATTGGTAAACCAGTTTTCCCTGCCTTCGCGAAACGCACAGGGTTCAATTTGATCCCATTAGAGCGCCGAGTAATTTTTGAAACTGCAAAAATCTACGAAATTTCTATCTAACATCGTTTTCTACGCCCCAAAATGTACCTATTGCTCAACACCCATATACGCTAATTGAAGATTGCTACCCTGCCGCTCAATCCAATTCAGCGGGTCTACCACAAGATGAATTTCCATTTGGTGACGCAATAGATTTCCATTTCCCGTTTGTTCTTCCCAAAAAATCCTCTTTTTGGGTCGTCCCCTAATCTTTCGTGGCCCGGGTTAGGGTTTCGAGCCCTCCTAGGGCCTTTTCTCGTATTCCCGCGTATGCAGAATGGGCCCCCTCCTCTCACATTTGGTCTCCCCCTAGGGATTTTTCAGGTTGCTTTTCGATGCCGTTGTTGTCTCCAGTTCTTTATCGAGTATCGTCACCGATTTTTTGGTCGTCTGGGAGGGAAGGCTTCTGAAATTTTGGATGATTTGCATTTCGTGTGAATCGGCTTTGGTTCGTTTTGGTCTATTGTTTTGGGTGCTGGTCCAGGATTCAGGTCCTTCTGAGATTTTTGAAAATCGTTATAAAAAGTGCGAAATGAAATTGTCCTTTAATGCTGGGTATCTACTGGTTTTTATAAGCTACTTTATTTTTGCCTTGAATTTAACTTGTAATATTGAAATTGATACCAAAATATAGTTGGCCTCATAAAGGATATTTTTAAAGTATTGCCCGCACTACCACGGTAGCGATGAAAATATTGCCTTTTAAATATATAAACCTTTTAATATCATACTTAGATCCATTTCCATAGCCTTATTCTACTCCTGACTTCCCCATCCCTTTAATACGCCTACCCCAATCCGTTCTAGGCAAAGAAAAAGTTTTAAGGGCTCTCTCGGGCGTTCTTTGTCCTTTCCCCTGCTCCTTTATTCATTTTTTATGCTATGGAATGGGGAGTGGGGGCCTTATCGGCGGGTTGGGCCCTCGAGGGAGGTGGCCCAGGGACCAGGGCCCTGTGTGTGAAGGGGCAGGGGAGGTGGCCCGAGGTGCGTGGGACTGGCCCTAGCGGGCATTGATTCTCAATAGGCTCCTCTCTGCCCGTCCCTCTCCCCCACATACGGGCCACAACTTTTTTTTCTCGGCTTCTTTTTTTGTGCTCCCCCACCACAGCAGAGAGGCCCCGGGCCCCTGGACCAAGGCCCTGAACCCAAACGAGGGGCCCTCTCCGGCTGCTGCTGCGAGGAGCTAGAGGCCCACTAGGGGAGGGGGCCCCCAAGTTATCTGCTTCCGCCACACGGCCTCGAGGCCATCCAATCCACCCACCAGGGCCAACCAGGCTTCTCCACACATATCCACACAAATGCACATTTTCTTTACTGAATTCTAGAAATGAAATTCAAACCTGAGCTGTGTACACATTGAATTTTGGGTTTACCGTTAGGCTTGGTCCCCTCTATTTTTTTCTGAATATATAAGCGGGCCAGAGGGACTTTAGAAGCCCTTGAACACTTCCGAATTTTGAAGTTTTCATTCATTGCATTGAAATATATTACGCCGGAAGCCACCCTAAGGCTCTTTTCCTAGGTCGGAATTTCACCATAAAATTTGAATGTCGATTCGTTGATTCCGGTGCGGTGAAAAGCTCAAAGAACCGAACAAATCTTTCAATCAAAATTACAATATTAAATTTTGAGGATATGGAAATCTCGATGGAATGCGTTTTTTGTGTGCTTTTCTTCGAACAAGGAGTGGCACTCCGCTACGCGGGTAAACGGGTCTAGAACTAAGCTAAACCGGTGTGCATGAGTCTACTTTTACACTCATCAAGTTTTTAAATCCTATGCTTAAACCCCCGCCCCTTAACCCCGATATTTCGGCTTGTGAAAACTCACTTGAAGCCGTCGAGAACCCCGCGCCTCCACCCCTCAAGCCCCATCAAAAAGCCGTCGCCCTCAATTATTCATCGCCCTCAGAAAAGTCGCAAAAGAGCGTCACGCCCCTAATTTATTCCGGTCTTTTACGTGGTCGTCATTTTTTTCTCCCCGGCTGTCATGCTAGTTCTTTGCTTGCTATTCCAGGGTTGTTGATTGGGGGTCGAGATGGTCATATAAATTTCAAAATAATTTATTTATATATCATAAATCCTGATTTTAAAACAGTTTCAACTCTGGAAGCCTTGGTCTGTTAGTGGGAACCCTCCTTAAGTCTGGTGCCGTGTCTGACTGGAAGCCCGAGAACTAGAAGTGAATATTATACCCTCCGAGGCCCTGACATATATTCTGATTGCCTTTTAAAAAAAAAAAAAAAAAAAAAAAAAAAAAAAAAAAAAAAAAAAAAAAAAAAAAAAAAAAAAAAAAAAAAAAAAAAAAAAAAAAAAAAAAAAAAAAAAAAAAAAAAAAAAAAAAAAAAAAAAAAAAAAAAAAAAAAAAAAGGGGGGGGGGGGGGGGGGGGGGGGGGGGGGGGGGGGGGGGGAAAAACTGAAAAATAAAATAAAAAAAAAAAATTCTTATTTAAAATAGGATTGACCGGGATTTCCAAAGAAAAGTTTGTTCGGAAACGTGTCCAAATTTCTTATCGACTCGTCGAATCATCAGACACGAAAATCCAATTCGTCACCGAAACTTATCCTCGCTGTTCGGCCGGTCCCATCCGTTTTGGCTGGCTCTTTCGTCTCGGCCAATATTATTGTTTATCAGGGATACGTCACCCGGTCCTCCCTTCTCTCTCCTTCTCTCTCTATGGCCAGCAGCAAGCACCAGGAGTGACTGTTTGCATATAACCAGACTAGTGACGCCATTGATCCAATTTCATCCCAAAAATTTAATTCTTAGTTTAATATATCTTATTAATAAAAAAATAAGCGCAACAGGTGGTGCGTGAGGGGATTTTTTGAGTTTATTGCGTGATTTCACGTCTAGTTGGTACATTAGAACTAGCAGATGAAGAGTGAAACACACTCAATCTGTTCAAAACCTAACTTCTAACCCCAATTAAGATGGTTCAAATACCATTTAGTGGCTCGTTATCTATCCCATCCATCTGCCACTCGTCACCTTCCCCCAATTCCGTGGCGTGTTTCCTTGTATCAGTGCGCATAACCACTGTCCATAGGCTCACCATGTATCTCACCCTTTGGTGCTTCCCCTCACTCCCTCCAACCCCTCACTTTGACTCATCCACATCACCCCCACGATATTTTCACTTGCTATGACTAAATGTGGTTTTGTACCCCGGGCTATTTCTCAACACAATATACAAACAGACCAACCCTAGATCGATCCTCTTTTGCCCCCTCCTCCCGACACCGCCTGACCGCTGTTAGGCTCTTTCCACTGACTGCACCTCTTCTTTTTTTAGTCTGGCTTTTCCATGTGCTCTCCGGCTTCCCTCCGCCCGAAGCCTTCCGCCCCTCCTCGCTTCTCTCGCGCCACGCAAAATATCCAATTTCAGGGCTCCACATCGATTTCGGAGTAAGAGGATGGCGTGGGTGAAATCCGGTATGCAGGCGCTGATACCTGCCAGTCAGCAGGGTTCCGGAGTGTGTGCGCGTGTTTTTCGCGATGACAACGCAAGATAATAATCTTAATCTTTCTCTCATTGGCCTGAAGGATCCAATCACCAAAATGCCAAGTGCAAAAAAATGAAATCGGGGCATGAACGATAAAAACAAAATTTTCAGGGATGCATTTACACAACTCGGCACCAATGTCGGTTTCGACTTGCCCCAAATTGCCGTCGTTGGTGGCCAGAGTGCCGGTAAATCATCAGTACTCGAAAGGCTAGTCGGAAAATAAGTCCATGACCCCAAAAAAATAATGTCGTATCTCAGAGACTGCTTGCCTCGAGGTTCCGGCATTGTAACCAGACGGCCATTACCCACAATTGATACAAGATCGCAATGGTAAGAACTATTTACCCGACCATCATTAATAATAATTTACGAGAATATGCCGAATTTCTGCACAAGAGAAGGGACACATGTTCACCGATTTTGATGCGGTTTAGGGGAAAGAGATTGAGTTTGAGACAGATCGTGTGACCAGGTGAACAAGGGGATCTCACCGATGACGGTACATCTCCGAGTCCACTCACCAAATGTCCTAATTTTGACGTTGATCGACTTGCCTGGATTGACCAAGGTAATTTTTGCTCTTATTATCAAATTTTGTAAATATTATTATAGGTGCCCGTCGGTGACCAACCAGCGGATATCGAGCAACAGATCCCGTGACATGATCTTGCAATACATCACTCGTCCCCCTTGCCACAATCCTTACTGTCACCCCGGCCAACGGTGATCTGGCCACTTCCGTGCCCTAAAGCTGGCCAAGAAGGTCGACCCTCAAGGTCTTCGCACCATCAGTGTCCTCACAAAAAACTCGATCCTGATGGACGAAGGAACTGATGCAAGGAAATCCTTGAAAACAGACTCTTCACGCTGCGACGAGGTAATTTCTGGCTCCTAGATCGTTGACACAGTTTTCAGGATATGTTGGTGTCGTCAACCGAGGCCCGAAAGATATCACTGGCCGTAAGGACATCAAATCTGCGCTTGAAGCCGAGCGGAAATTCTTTTTATCTCATCCCTCATATCGGCATATGGCTGATCGTCTCGGAACCCCATACCTGCAATATACCCTCAATCAGGCAACTGACAAATCATATTAGGTATGACGGTATATCAAAGACAAATCAAAGGAATTATTTCAGGGATACACTGCCCTCACTTCGTGATGCCCTTCAAAAGCGACTATTCCTTCTAGAAAAGACGTGGCTGAATACAAGAATTTCCAGCCGAATGATCCTTCCAGAAAACAAAGGCCCTCTATGCAGTATGTTTTGTTGATAGAGATAATTGAGGAACTTTGTTTAGAATGGTGCAACACCACGCGTGACATCGAGCGTTCCATTGACGGCTCATCAGCCAATATGGTACCGGACAAATGAGTTGAGCGGTGGTGCTCGCATCAACCGTATCTTCCACGAGCAAGCCTCATTCGAGATTGTGAAGATGGAAATTGACGAGAAGGGAAATGAGACGGGAGATTCAGTTCGGCGATTAGGAATATTCATGGTGTTCAGTAAGTGGCGCGACTTTGTAATGTAGAATCTATGAAACAAAAACTATAACCCACCTTTCGGAGTTGGCCTATTCACTCCTGACAAGGCCTTCAAATTCATCGCAAAGAAACAGATCGGCCGTCTTCGTGAACCATCCCAGAAATGTATGACCTCGTTGCTGGAGAGTTGGCTAACGTTTGTAGCGCCAAACGGCAGACTCGGTGAGAAAGAATTCGTCAATTTAATAAGATATCTCTGTGCTTGGCCGATACCCACGCCTACGTGAGGAAGTCGAATCGGATTGTCGTCTCGCATATGCGCGAGAAGGGCAGTACGCCAAAAACAAATCGGTTTTATGGTAGATTGCGAGCTGGCTTACATGAATACCAACCATTTCTAGAGGATTTCGTTGGTTTTGTGCAAGTAAGTCATCAAAAATGTTTTTTCATAAAGATAATTTTAGTGCTGAAGCCAGTTTCAGCCTCGACTGCTGAAGAAAACCTTGGCAACCAGGTGATCCGGAAAAGGATGCGCGGCTATCAGTCCAAAACATTTCGTTTGTCCGTGGATCCAAGGATTGCTGGTTTGGCTGACATCTGAAAGTCTCTCCTGGTACAAGGTAGGAAATTATTTTGATAACCTTTCAAGTACTGTGTTTTTAGGATGATGAAGAAAAGAAAAGAAATACATGATGCCACTTGATGGTAACAAGCTGCGCGATCTGGAAAGTGCTCTTATGTCCCGCCAACACAAATTTGCCCTGTTCTATCCGGACGGAAAGTAGGTATTTTCACCCTCCATTCCCAGAAATACCAAAACGAACCCATTATCTTTAGATCGTAAGTGTTGTCTCTGTAAAACAATTTAACGCTGTGCTCCCTGGTGGTATCTTGACCTTTTTGTCCCTCCTATATCTATCAGAACTGTTGCTTGGGAATTGGAAATAATGACACTGACAATCAGCATTAATTATACCCTAACACGCTTTGTGCTGAATTTAAAGGCATTCAGAGGGCCCGTCTAACCCTGACACCCCCTGTTCACGCTCTAATGAGTAAACTGCTCGCCCCCTCATTAGTGTGTGATGGGATGGCGCTTCGAGCCTTTTTAAAAGGATAAATCGAATCCTAAACTGCACCCAAGATATCATTAACCAAAGACGATTTAAGAAAGTAGGTTATATCGACGGGGCGTACGTTCGGCGTAAGTGCTCTCGTCATTAGGTGTCGTAATTGAGGTGTACGTAAGCCTTGGTCTGGAGCCCCTTAGTTGATATCCAAGAATTTGTACAGTGACGACGATCTATCCTCCAGACTTAAGAACTTTCTGTTCCACCTGATTGTTCAACCAAATCGATGGTGGAAGTGCATAAAAAAATCCACAGAGTTATGAAAATTTTTTGCACTTGATGCGCTTCAGCCATCCTACAGTGCTCCTCAAACCTATCGCTCCTTCCTAAACTCCTAGATGGCAGTTGCCCCCAAATTTTTCATAGGCGACCTGATGCCACTTGCACGCGGTGTGCCCACGTGCATCCGGAAAACAATGGCAACTCATTTTAGAAATATCTAATAAGGATTACAAGCAGCTCGAGCTGGGATGCGCGCGAACCTTGATGATGCTGATGCCTCTGAAGGCGTCCTTCCCTGCGCGCTGGCGTATATCCAGAAAAAGCAAAAGCTTGCCGAGTCAGAGGTGGTGTTTTATGATAAAATTCTCCTTAAACTGTCCGTTCTTTAGGAGGTACATTTTAAAAGATCATCGGTCAGTCTGGTGCATGCTAATTTGTTGTAGCTAAAAACAAGGGTTTTCATTTTGGGAAATTTACCTTTTAAGTCCGGGAGCAGCAAGAGGAATCGATGTCTTCGATGGATCCACAAAGTGGAACGTCAATGGAAAACCATTCGGAACCTGGTCGATTCGGTACACGGAGCACTGTAACGAAGACAATTTAGGATCTAAAAACCAAATGTATCATGTTGCTCATCGTCAACCAGGTAAGATTCAGCGATGGATGCAAATACTTTGTCCCCAGGTCGGCGAATTCGTGGACAACGAATTGTTAGGCCCATCTCTATCAATGTGGCGACATGCTCTGATGGAAGAGTCACAAAGTGAAGCTCAAAAGCGTGAGGAGCTGCTGCGAATGTATCAGGGCCATCAAGGACACGCTCAAAATTATTAATGAGGTTGGTCAATGGCGCATGTGTTTTACCTACTAGCTAGTAAAACCCTTAAATCCTAAACTCCAAGATTGTTACCCAAATTCCAATATTTTAACAATTTACAGGTGAATCTGAGCAACATTGACGTCTCTAATACGAGCTGGCCCTTCCCACCCCGGCGGCCGATTATCGGAAATGGGCTGCTCAACGAGGGGCACCACCGAGCGGTCTAAACCCGCCGGGACCCGGTGAGAAATGCCTTTTTATGGCTCGAAACTCTGCAGATCGGAAATAATAGGGACTGGAGAAGCCGCCCGTGGCAACCAATTATTTGCGCCTCCACAAAATTTGAATCGAAAAAATTATTAGTCGGGGGACTGAAAAAATTCTGATTTTTAATTAATTTAACAAAATGACAACTTGGATCGGGATTAGGTTAACCTAGAACTGAAAATCGCATTGCGTCAAATATGTTCAAACACATCTCTGGCGATTTTTACAGGATACCGTGAGTTACAACATATCTGGATTGCTTCCCAATAAACTACAGCGGTTTTACCATAATAATAGTAATTTTAAGGTGCTTGGTTTCTCAAATTTCTTGAAAAACACGACTTACCAAATGACGTGGCATACATACCCTAAAATTCTTCCTCTGAGCGCGGGGAGACGGAATTTTCTCACAAAAAATATTTTTAAAATATAGTAAGAAGCGAGATTAGCGAATTAAATTGTTTAAATTTAAACCGAATTTACATGAAGTAAATAAATACCAGGGATGAACCGGAACGCTCCGATGCCTCCCCGCCCTGGCCAGGGTGGCCCTCCACCACCAGGAATGCGTGGCCCACCACCACCCGGTGGAACGCCTCCATCAATTCCTCAGTAAGCATGTACAAATCCAAAAATATATTCGTATTTTTTACTGACACTATTTCATAAGATCCCCTCATTTTAGAGGAACTCGACCTGGTGGAAGTAATGAAATGTAGGCTTATTTTAGTCCCGGTAGTTGATAGCGTTTTTGGAGAATGCATTGATAGAGCGTGAAGAAAATTGGCAAACATACTAAGAAATAGGAGTTGATTGGGGAAAGTTGATTTTACTAACGTTATGCGAAAATTAATTATGTAGAAATTCGTGCCGCTGAAAATTATTAATGCAGAAATTCCGATGAAATTTCCTTACGTCAAAATCTAAATACTGAAACTCGATAACTCGACTTTTTATTTACTTTTTATCGAAAGATTTCGTTGATTCTACGAGTTTTTAGGATACCGAAATTAAGTTGAATCAATAGTTATATACGGCTTCTTAAGATTTCTCCCAAAAATTTCAGTTCATTCGATTTGGATCTGGAAATTTCTCCCTAATGGTTTTTGCGTAACGAAAATTTTGGTGTGACGTCATTCTGCGTACTAAATTTTACTGTAATTTTAAAATGTTTTAAAATGGCAAAGTCGTATTGCTTGTGGCCAGCAAAAATACGACTAATCATATATAATTAATTATAAGGTGATGCTCAAATTTACCCCGTCCAGCCGACCCGAACATTATAGCTCGACTCCGGGCGATGCTCTGCGTGTTGTAAAGTACACCAAAATATTTCGCCTAATTTTTAGTATAAGAATACGTTCCGTTTCAAGCGAAAAAGTAGCGAACATTAATAAATCTTAGGCTGGAAACATCGGAATATCAGCCGGGGCGGGGGGTATACTGGAGCTTACCCCTATTAATAAAGAAAAGAATAATATTAATAAGATACCACCCTACTCTCTTTCTCCCAATTATACTACTCTGAGATCTGTGTCTGTGCAGGCGTCGTCCAGGCCCACCCGGGCCACCCGGCCCCGGTGGCCCACCCCCACCGCGTCCCCAGCAATAGAAAAATGAGGGAGATATGAATGAATGGTAACATTACGAAGTAGCCCGTGACTATTGTTGTACCGTGCGACCTCGTGGCGTGAACTAACTATTTGGGCCTCAGTTTGCCGTTGCTATCGTTTTTGACTGTAGCCTTCCCCCCCCACATGGAAGGGTTGGGGGAAATGGATTCTGGGGCTGCTAGAAGATTTTTTTGGTTGAAATTTCAAACGCATGCGCTTTTCCGAATTCTTCAAGCTTCTCCCTTGTTCGTGCGACCGAAGAAAGATTGCATTATACGTCTAACGGGGGTTAGGAAGTAGAGAAAGGCATTTTCCGTCAAACCGTCAACATGTCAAGATGATGGAAAAATGCCAATTCTTTCGTTACCTAGCCCCTCTAAGACGCAAGCTTTGGCATAGGGCCGACTATACCTATCCACGCTTCGAACCTTCTCTTGGCCATAGTCTCTCCGCGAACATAGGTGCATACGTAGTAATGGCTGCTAAGTGCACTTTCATGGATTATGACAGCAATTATCCCTAGACCAATCGAAAAATGGCTGGAAACATCCGAAGGCGGACGTTCGCTTTATAATGCTACGGATACGCCTATATCACGCAAAGAGAGACTCAGGAGCTTCATAGGTGTATATGGATTCCCCCTGAATTTGCGTTTAAAAATTCCAAAACCCAAAAAATTTATCCCTGCTCCTCAAATCCATTCCCCGAAACCACAAATCAAAATTTTCGCGAGCCATTATTGCCCCACTTTTGAGCGCTTCCCCCCCTAGCATGTACGATTGGCAACATTACACATTTCCAACACAATAATCCATTTATTTTGAAGTGCCGAGGAACAACACCGACGAATGGCCAAATGCCGCTCATCCCAAAGCGTCCCTTCATTCCTCCTCGACCATAAAGTACAAGTCTCTAGGTAGTCGTTAGTTGTGTTCGATGCCCAACTATACATCCCCATCCTTTTGTTTGCCCTGCCGACTATACCATTTCTCAACAAAATTAACTTATGTCTTAAGGGCGCTGTCTCTCCCACCCTCGCCAGCAGTGATATATTTGACAGTGCAGAAAGACTTCGTCGTACTTAAACACCTCCACTTCAGCCCAATGGTTTTGACTATTTTACCGATATACGGGCTGCTAAGATCCGAAAAATGGTCGCTCGACTTCAAAATTCAATTCCATTAAGCTCCCTTTAAGAAAAGCCAGAACGGTTGGTGTCCGAGACCTTCGTTCTTTAATTTATTGCAGCCGCATGTAGCGATTTTTGATTACTAGAATATAGTCGACTATTCTAGTACGAATGCACCTCTTTCCCAAAGCCAATCCTCCATGTATAACTAGTTTTTTGATGTTCTGTGTTTCCATCTCCTTTCCATCAAAATCACAAGTAACAAAATAAGCCCGGCCTCTTCTCTATAGCAATATTACGGTCTGTACGTGCATAGCCTCGCGTTGTCTTCGGATATAATTTTTAATTTTCAGAATAGGGCCATGCCACGCCCATTTCCCCAAACCCCCCAATAGCATTTCGCTTACATTCGCTCTCAGAATTGGTATCGTGTTTAGAAATAAATATTTATTTTTATATTCTTAAACATCATAATCACCAGGTGCGAAAGACAATAATAGGGCACGTTGAAAGGCGTTGCGGGTTGCAAAGAAAATACCGTAACAATTCCGAACATATCAATAAAAATACAAGGTTATAAATTGAATGACTAACATTGCTTGAGACATCAAATAGCACCGATTTCCATGGTAGTCTTAAAAATAAATATAAGTTAGGCTTGGGTTCTGCTCTTGTTTTGCTCCTTGTGGTGCTGTTTCACGTAGTATTGGATGGTTTCCATAAGGCCTTCATCGAATGGGGTTGTGCATTGCCATCCAAAAAGCCTGGAAAATATAAAATGAAATTTTGATTGTTTAAGACTTACATTCTTGATTTTGCCAAAATCAATGAAATATCTTCGATCGTGATATGGCCGGTCAGGGATTGGAGTGAAAGTAGGTTCGTTTTGATCACTAAAAATCCGTAAATCAAAGCTATCGATATTTCCATACCGATTCTGTAGTTTGTTGACGATGGCATGAATTTTCTTTGTCAGCTCAATATTCGTCATCTCGAATTCGGTGCCGATGTTGTACACCTCGCCGACCTTGCCCGATTCGGTTACCCTTCGAATGGCCTCTGAGCAATCAGAAACATACATCCATGAGCTAAAAAAGCCTCTATTTTAATGCAATTTAGTAAATTAACATACCGGCAATGTTTTCCATCACCCATCAATGAGTACGGCTACTCGTCAAGCGCCAATTTGGTGAACTTCGGTATCAATTTGCTGTAAGCCTGTCGTGGCCCGTAGACGTTGTTCATTCGAACCATCACGTATGGTAGCTTATAGGATTTCTAAACATCAAGTAATAAATCAATAATATTAAACTCACATTGTAAGCCTGAATAATCAGCTCGCATGCCGCCTTACTGGCTGCATATGGATTGGTGGGATTTGGCAGTGTTGTCTCTGTCTTTGGTGTCGTATCAGATTCCGAAGAATCCCCGTAAATTTCATCTAAATTTTTTATATTGATTTTAATCGCTAAATAACCTGTGGAAATGTGGACCAGCCTTTTCACACCCTTGTATTGGCTGTTCACAATCGATTCGAGAAGCGTTGTGGTGGAAATAATATTTTCCTATTAAAAAAATACCCATTTAATTTTGGATATATACCTGGATCGTGCCTATCCGATCAGCATATGAATCATCAACGTGGGTAATGGCCGCGAAATGGATTACGGTGTCAATCTAAAAATTTGAACGGGTTTAATGAGATTGCTGGGGATTACTTACATTATTTTCAGAGAGGACTTTGTTTAGGGTTTTCTGGTCGTTGAGGCGGGCGTGGATAAATTTGGAACGTCCGCCATCAGCCACTCTTGGCTCGATGTGCTCAGTAGATGCTGCCAAATGTCAATTTGTCATAGTTGACGAAGCTATAAAAGTAATTTTCCAGGACTTTACTTTTTAATGTTTTTACTGAATATTAAGGATTATATATTTATTTAACTAATTATTTTTCTTTTTCGAAATAGAAAAATTATTGATCAAAATTACCTGTAGTAATTTTTTAAATTTGTTTTGAACAGGAATTGCTGTAGAGAAAAAAGTAAAAAGTAAACAAATCAGGCACAACTATACGGCGATAACCGGTAGGAAAAACTCACTTGGTAGACGACCATTTGTTGTGGATAAATTGGTGAAATTCGAGCCGATAGACCCGCATCCACCCGTCACCAAACAGTTCTTCGGCTCGCCGTGATCATCAGCCATCGCTAAAAGTCCCAATAGGTGCGGTGACCAACGAAAAAACTCATAAAGAAATTCGAAGACGTACGCTAAAATAAAAGGTGAACCGGCGGGCGCGTCTTCTATACAGAATTCAAGAATATGGATCGGATAGGGAGACGATGAGAACTGAGGGGTGCAGTTCTCGAGCCCCCTCAAGGCTTCGGGCCGGGTCGATCGAAATATGCGTGCGAGCTTTTGGAAGGAGGTGAGGAAGGGGGTGAGGGTGAGAATGAGAGGAGGGGAGTCTGAGGTTCCGATCCACGGACAGATAGAGCCGGCCTGCCACAACCCCGCCATCGGCCGTCGTCTGCCAGCCAGCCATTTGGACGGGGGGGGATAAGCCCTTCCTCTGCCCTGAGGTGCCATACATATCATCAATCGCCATTTGATTCAATCACTATGTGTAGGGAGAGAGAGAAAGAGAGAGAGAGAGAGAGAGAGAGAGAGAGAGAGAGAAGAGATAAAGGGTGTTACGCCCTCTAGTGGCGAGATCCAGCCTTTTTGCCAGACTTTAACTTTCCGGAACTTGGTGATCAGAAGCTGCGATATTTGGTGTTTTGTAGATGTTGATCCACCGGCTTTTTTATTTCAAATTGACTTCACCAACCCTTTAAGCCCAATGTAAGCGACCTAGCATGCATTTCCGCAGACCAAATTGCACCCAACTCCAATGTCGTGTACTGACAATCAATTATGAAATGTATCTAACTTTTTTCAGATAGTTTTCATTGATGATGAAAACTCCGGGAAAAACGTGTTTCTGACCGCGCGAGCCACCATTGGCAGCCAACATTTGCTCAGCTTTCTCCCCTGGAATCTCGCCTTGGCGAAATGCAAGCTGCTCAAGCTTCACGCTAGGCGCCAGCGATTCTCTTAAGTTCTGGATACTTAGTGAAGTTGGGAGAATATGATATGTCGGCAAATAGCTGATTCAGGACCTACAGTAGCCAAAAAAAATCTAGGAAATTGATATCACCAGCTTTCAAAATGCCGGCGAACCTTTCAGCGGACCTTCTGTAGTGGATCTACGGCATTGAGAAAGACAGCAAGTGAGAGAAGGAGAGAGAGAGAGAGAGAGAGAGAGAGAGAAAGATAGAGAGAAAACGAGACAGAGCGAGCGAGCACTAGCGCGCCACAATGAACGAGTGATGGGAATGGCGGGCAGCGTGCGAGCGCCAGACGTCTCACTCATGCGTCCAATTCACTTAGCAAGTCCTCCGCACTAGGCTATACATATTTTGTGCCGTCCGTCCGTAGACAGTCTTCAATCTGGATGAGGGAAGAGGGAGATGGTGCAGCTCTGTATTATTTGGTCCGATGAACGTGGAACTTAGGCTGCTCTGGATTATCATGGGATGAGGATGGCATTTGGGAGAGTGGATGGGGTGGAAATTGGAGAAAAACAGAACGCGATAATAAGTAGGGAAATATCTATAGGCTTTATTAATTATAGGAAGTTTTTGGTTTGCTAAAAAAATGATGTTGCATCAGGTAACTATCGCGTTTCGTTGTTATCAGTCGGCAAAAAAATCTCGGGCTTTAATTACTTATTTCGGTGAATTTCCGGTTTGCTAACAACAATTTGCGTCGGGCGTATTTGCGTATCTATGGCGGCTAGTGAAATACTTTCGAAAAGAATCACTTTTCTATGAAAATCGGTTCAGAAGATGACTCCCATCATAAAATCCGCAGCAGCCGCGTAGGTTCGAAGCAGATAAAGTCCAAATAGAAAATTGTTGCCAACTTGACCAGCGACGGCTCCCAGTCATATTTAGCCAAGTTATATACCCATGCCAAGAGCTTAGCGTACCAAAAGAAAGGTTTAGGACGCTGGGTACGAAACGAATGTTACAATAAAAAAGCATGACCCTGTACAGGCTGGCCTATATATAGCGTTCGGATGTAGGGGGGTGGTGCCGTCTGCCATCAAACCGATTTTCGATCCGCCCTCGAAACAATCCACGACCACCCGGTGCGCCGGCTTCTTCGTCTCTTCATCAAACCACGATCTTTTCCCATGCCCTCCGTTGGGATATTCTCAATTTCTGTTCATTATCTGTTGCTCTCTCTCTCACTGTCTGTCTCTCTTTTCTCTTTATCACTCTCGCTGTCTCTCACCCTCAAATGTTCGGATGGAGGGCAGCCAGGAACGGTGGTCTGCTCCATCTGCCTTTAACGTGGCTGAAAAGTGCGAAAGATCCTCCAGATTCTGTTTTTGAACAAGTTCTATCCCAAAAAAGCCAACATGATCAAATAATTTTATCCAACTATAAATTCTGAGGATCATAACACCAGATCGAGTATGAGGAAGGGTTTCACAAAATACTGATAGACGCTCAATCACAGCTAAAATTGCTCCGCATCTGTTTGAGTGACAGCGAATCCGGGTCCGTGACCAGGTATTAAATAATTAGAGGTGCAAAGGAGATATCTAAGATATAGAGCGTATTATTGAAGATCAAAACTTACCGCCTAGAAATTGTTTGTTGGGTTTCATTAGCAGACAATGGGCGCCACATCATTGGATGGTCGATGTCTTCACTCCTCATAAAAGTATCCCCTAAATTTATGTATTTTATTTTTGTACACAAAATTCACCTGTAACAGACACATTCCCAAACTTTTCAGCATTTTTTACGATCACCGAAATGTCATCCGATGTGTGGCCGGGCGTTTTTATTAAATAGACGCTATTAGTCAAAGGCTGTTTATCACTCTAAAATGACTTTAAAATTGCTTTTAATCATGCTATTAACCTCGAATAATTTTGAAAGATTAAAGATGCTGTTGCGATGTACGTACCATCCCTAAAAATTTTGTTTTAATTAAGCATCTCTTTATTATATTGCCTGGTAGTGCGTGGCGGCCGGAAACTCCGAGACACCTCCATTATGGTCCGGATGTCCGTGTGTGGATACAACAACATCGATTTGATTTGGCGCCAACCTATTCTCGGCTAATTCTGGAAAAGACAAAATTAGAAAAACCCCATAAAATAAAAATCAAATGAATAAATCATCGCCTTACTTTTCAAAAAACCATTCCGCCCCTGCAAATCGGTCCCTAAACCGGTATCAACAAGGATATTCTGCCCCTCATCTTGGATCCAACGTCACCGAGGCCACAAAAGATATTCGTTGTCATTTCGCTGCTCTGCCGATCCCTAAAATGCGTCTCTTTTTGTGGAGAGAATCGGGAGATACGCTTCGCAGCACGGTCACTTTCGGTTTCGGCCGCCGGATTTCCATGTTTTTCTTCGATTTCTTCTTCGTCTCTTTTATTTGGGCGAGTAGGGAGTGTAGCTGCTTTGACAGGTCGTGCATCTTTTCTTCCCAATTTTCTTCTGATTTTTGGGGCGGTTCTGTAAGTTCTGGGGGTAAAACTTTTGACTTAATAAACCTAATAGCGTTAAAACGAGTTCAATCATTTTGCACGATATATAGCCTTTTCCACATAGCAACAAAAGTTCGCCCTATTTTTTAGTGCGGTTTTGTTTTCCACAGCTTCTGCTCAAATTGGCACCCTTAGTTCTTCGCCCTGCCGTCCGACTCTCTCCAAAAATCAGGTTTATCGGGAAAATCATCGGTTTTCTCCGGCTGATAGCCATCCTGAAATGGCAGCCACCGCCAATATTTGTGGCTGATGGTCTGGGTTAAAGCGGATAAATCCATAGAGATCGAAATCTGTTGCTTGGTCGATCGTGTAAATGTGCTCTTCTATGGCTTGTCTATTCAGACCGTTTTCCGCACAACGAACAGCCGGCAAAGAAGCGCACCTTCGGGTCACACGAAAAATCTTTTTCTCTGGATACAGGCGGCGGTTATGGCATCCGGATGCCGTTTGCCGTGCTTTGGCAGCTCTAGCCTTCTATTTCGACGAACACCCCCCTCTCCACCGGAATGCCAGTTTTCCTGTTGAGGCTCTCTCATCCAGCGATTGGCCGACATGAGGTCGTCCCAGCCAACCGTTTTCCACAAAGAATCTCCCCCCCCCGCCCTCGCAAATGCCCGCTGGCAGGAGCGATCCCAGCTTTCCGTCCATCTTCTTTTTGTGGCAAAGTGAAATGGGGGGGATTCGCGAACTTGATCGACTATCGGCATTGAAAGGTACTGGAGCAATGTACAGGATTGTAGAGGGTGAAGGGGTTTAGGATATAATAGCAATATATGCATTTAATCTGCAACGAATAGATTAAAGCGATTTTATAATACCTCTAAAGGGGCCTATCAGAATCTCGAGGTTATAGAATATCGACATTTTCTTAGCTTTGGCGAAAGGCATTGGCTGTTCTCCCGGAGCTCTCAAAATTCTGTTCATTTTTAAGGGCTTGGAGCTTGAAAAACCCATATTCTCAAAATTTTATTCAACTTTTATCTTAGAGATTCCCATTATTTTCCTCTATTGTGATTGCAATCATTGTTAACAACATTTTTTCAAAAAAATTAAAAATCACTAACCATCTTCACTCTTTCGCTCAACGACAGGCTGCCAAGCGGGTACATTTCGTGCCGCGTGCTGGGCCACAATTTTCTATAAATCCAGATATCCTATAGGAAAAGTTTTCTTGCCTTGACACTATCATGAACACTCGGGCCTGTATTCTTAATAATAACCTAAATACGTAGCTTAATAAAAAAGAATTTAACGCATACCTTTTCGGTACGACCGCGGATCGGTTTAGCGTTCCTACGAGGTTCTGAAGCGACGATCGTGCTTGGAAAGGTCGGAGCAGCAACGGCAGCCTTCCGAACATCAATAAGTTGCTAAAAAATCATCCGGAAAACCTGAAATATATACATACCTGTAGTATCATAGCATATTCCTTAAACGTCTCCTTATCCGGCTCTCGAGGTTCTTCGAAATTCCTGCCAAACTCTCGTACCCGACTTTTCGGGCTGATTCTTGTGACCTGGGGCCGGGCCACCCTTGGTTTCCTAAATTTTCCAATAGTTATTAATTTACAAAAAACTTGCGTAATTGGCTCAATAAAGGCTTTTTCTCTGAGGTCGTTCTTTTCATTAGGCAGATGTACCCTGCCTAGTGTCAAAAAATTCCCCTCATCGTCATTTGAAAGGGCAGCCTAAAATACTGTCAAAATATGATAGTGTATCAACCTGTGGCCGTAATGAATTGAGTGAAATCACTGAACCATCTACCGTATCGCCAGCCGCAAATAACTCTGGCTGATTTTCGTCTAACTTTACATCTTCGGCTTCATGGAAATATTCATCAAATGGTAATCGTGAAACCGAAGCTTAAGGAAATTTATAAATTCGTTTAGCAATGTTTTTTCAAAACCTGTGCCACGCCCTCGGACGAAATCTCGCAAAATTTTAATTTCGAAATCGTTGAGTTCTTTTAGGAATTCATAATCCTTTTCTAAAACTCAGGTTCAATAAGATATTTTGGTTTATCTTACGTCTTCTTCGATAGGGGTCTTCGGTTTTGCAATCAATGACTAATATCATGAATAGGAGTAGAAAAAGCGGCATTGGAGGGGAATAACAAGTGGTTGAGGGCCAAGAATGATCTGAAAATGAAAATGAGGATATATGGCAGGTCGAAAGGGTTAGGTGTGGCTCGAGGGGAGGAGGACATCGTTGATGGTTTATGACAGTCTTGAGGAGAAGAACCTCGTTGACCTAGAGACTCCCCACACATTCTTCTGGGTCAACCCCTTCAAAATTTGCTTTCGATAATAAACTTGTGAGAATGTTTATCGGCAGTAATTTTGTTATTAGCTCGCTGACGCCTTTAGCTTATCTTTCTCTTATCGAAGAGATTAAAAATGACGAATACGGCGACAAAAAAAATGAATTTGGTGAAAACTGACGGCAGATTCGGAATCGGAGCAAAAAAATGATGTAGATTGCCTTACATTACGAAGTCAAAGCCGCGATGTATTATTTATTTTAAGTAATTTTATGATTAATAAGTTCCAACACTTTAAATATGGTACGTATCAAAATGCTATCGACTAATAGTCGGCCAATTCATCAAAAAAATACAGTTAAAAATCAATAAACTTCATCCTAGTGGCCAACGGCTGGGCAAGGATCCAAATGCGGTGCACAATTTCGCCCGCCGGCTCGGCTCGCACTTGAGGCGGCAATTTGTGCTGGGAAACGGTCATGGCCGGCCAGATCTGGAACTCGCCACTCTCGCTCAATTCGCCTTATGGGCAAAGAATGAACATATGTCATATTGGGGGGATGAGGGAGGAGGACCGCATTCAATATAACAAAGCTACGCATTGCAACCGTCTACAAAAGGATCGTTTGAGAGGGGGAAGTTTGGCAGCTTTCCAGGGGGGTTGACCCCTTCTTTAAGGTTAGTAGACCATAGTCTGGCTAAATGGGTAAAATTCAAATTTCTCGTAAAGAGTGGAGTAATATTCCGGCACATACCCATTACAGTCTGCCATTCGCGCGTATGCTAATTGCTACCTAACAGGGGTGGAGGCGAGGTTTTCACAAAAAGCCACCGATCCCTTACGTACGATGCAAATGCACACAGACACTATTTTTTATGTATACTTACAATACTCCATAACCCTGTATCCTGCCATTTCCAATCTCTTGAAACCCCAGCAATTTATTTCAAACAACCACGGTACAGCATCGAACACAATGAGACCATAGACTATGCGATAAAAACTAAGGTCTGTGACAAGCCATTGACCACAAATTAATATTAATATAGTGATGATCATCATCTCATTAATATCCAGGCGCAGTCCTTGGCGGCGGGCAATGATCACAGCCACCCGAGTCTCCACGATTTCCATCTGGTCCGTTCTCCCCGGGGCCTCCAGGCTTTCCATCGGATCCATTTCCGCCTGGGGGTCCAGCTTCTCCAGGTGATCCGGCAGATCCGGGCTTGCCATCTCCTCCCTTGGGTCCATCTGGTCCAGCTTCGCCGGGTGATCCAGGAGGTCCAGGAGGTCCTTCGGGGCCGGGCACCTCGCTGACCTGGCCAGCAGAGCCTGGTGATCCGGCTTCTCCCGGCTTTCCATCATCTCCACCGGGTCCAGGAGGGCCTGGTGGGCCTGGCGGGCCACGTACACCACCATCCGCATCCTTTCCGGGTTCACCATTGCTGCCGGGTGGTCCTAAAGTGATAGTTTACAAAGCCGTTAGAAATGGATGACTACCTTTGGGTCCAGCTTTTCCAGCGGGTCCTGGTGGGCCATCAGGGCAATCGAAGCAGAAGTCATGGTGCGGTGCAGGGGTGGCTTCAGGGCCGTCAGGGCCATTATTGCCGTTCTTTCCAGGTTCACCTAAAAGAATTAGGTTATGATTATTGTAGACGGAATTTCTAAGTATTTTGGATCTGGGTAGAGTAGACCTACCATCCGCTCCATCCAATCCATCAGACCCAGGTGGGCCGGGGGACCTTGAGCGGAAACGCCACATCCACAGCATCCGTCACCACCACCTGAAAAAGATTTCGACAGCTTAAGGGGAGCGTAAGGCACAAAAATGGATTTAACTTGACGAAACCATTGCCAAAATGGGTTAGGAAACTTGGAAAAACTACAGGGGTGTTCCAAAAAATATATATAAGTCTTAAACGAGGTACGATACACCCGCTCCTTAAATTTAGGATGAAGCTGAAGGCGTACTGCTTGCGACCTCCTCTATATTTCCAAACCTCCAGATGAAGCAGCATGATGAGTTCCCTCAACCCCAGCGGACTCATATCCGGCCTGCCTTCTCGACCTGACCACTCCATTCACACTGGCGAGCACCTGAAAGAGGGACGAGTCTTGAGCAACCAGATGCAAATCTGTATATTCGATATGGGGGAGCAGAGAACACCCTCCACGATGGCATGACTGTCACCACCAACTAGTACGGCTAGATCCTATCAACCACCCTCCCCCCCCAGCCGTTTTATTGACTCGGCTCACATTTGTGCTGCCTGGAGGGGCATGACGAGAAGTGCAGGAATGGCTTTATATGGTATGGCGGATTGATGGGGTGTGTGATTTGTGCTGACAACCATGTGCTATCGAAAAATCTTTAAGGTATTTTTAGCATTTATATATGTAATTTTGTAACGAGACTTAGAATATTCGATATAGCTTTAAATGCCACACAAGTACCGTCGCTCACAAAAGTGCTAAACGATTCCTTCGATCTCTTTTTAAGCATGTCTTCAAGAGCTTAAAAAAAAACTTTTCGATATTTTTTAATCGCGCGGCAACAACTACTGTGGCTCATTTTTTCCGAATTTGAAGCCCTACCGGATGAAATTCATAGCTCAAAAGAGCCCCTTACTTTCGTAAGTTTCAAAAAGTTTCCTTAAAACCCCTTAAACTAGACTTTTAATACTTTCGACCGCGCCCAAACTACTGTCTTTACAGCCAAATGGCTGAATTTGGGGCCGGAAAAGCAGCGATCGGAGGAGGGCTGCGCGAAGCCGCCTGAAGTGTTCCTAGGCACCCTACCCAAACAGGCCAATTTGTACCCATTTGCCTGGATGAGAGGAGGGGGGATGGTGAAAGGGGGATGTACCGCCTTTTACCTGCGTACGAGTCACTTCCCGCCAGATGTTGGAGCTGCGCAGCTTGCAGAAGTTCACCTGAAAACAGATGGGGATTCTTTGGCTTAAGCCGCGAATTTGAGTGAATAACATTGGTATAGGTCAGAAGGTCATATCAGATTTATAAGCTCATAAGCTTCCTATCTGAAATTGCAGTTCTATCTCTCTTACAGGCTAGTGGGAGTAAAGAATGTCTCGAGCTGTTTAGAGCTTAAAAAAATAGCAACAAAACCTTTTAACGGCATGATTAAATCGTCAAAAACGGCCCGCTACAAAACTTTCCATAACACACCTCTCCCTGCATCATCGACTGCATTTGCTGGAGATAATTGTAGAACATTGGCACGGAGACCATACACAGGAGAGTAGCCACTGTCGAGATGGAGACGCCAATAAAGGCTACTCTACAATGGGCAATCAGGTCAGACAGTCTTCTCGTCTCTCGTCTAGAGACGGAACTGCCGTGGGGGGGTTGCTGACAAAAGGATCCATGGTTTTGGCAAGGACATATTAAAAGCGTTTGCTAAAGAAGATGACGTTAAAACGTCCAAATTTTCGCCAAAGTTCGCCAAAAAATGTAAACCTGGGCAAAACGTTACCATTTTTTAATCTCCATGCCTACTGGCTGAACTCTTTTTGACGCAACAGGTTCATGGAAAATATAATCTAACTATAAAACATTCCGGCTTAAGAACAACCAAGACACTTTAATATTTGCAAAATTGGATAGATTTTCAACAATTAATAAAAATAATTAAGTTTAAATAAAACTAAATCAACCTCCTAAGCTGCTGGGCCTCAAGCAGAAGGCGCTTCTCGTCCGTCATTTGTCCAGGGCGTCTCTTTGTGGTGTCGTCCCTTTTATAGGCGATGTCCCCCGCTTTGGAAGCGCTTCCTTGGCAGTCACGCCCTCCTCCACCTCCACCTCTTGCTCCTTTTCCAAATACTCCTCCTCCTCCATCGCCCTATCCAGTAACCTTTTCCACCTACAGCATCCGTGTCGTGACAGGGGGTCGAGAACGGCGGCTGGGAGTGGGGCGCCTGGAATTCAACATTCAACTGTTTCCATTGTTACCCCCCGGAAATTCGCCTAGATCATAATCACGGTCTGGTGTTGTTGGCAGAGGAAGTAGGGTGGAAAAACAGTTGTTATATGGTTGTAGATGTTATTGTCAGCTGAGAAAAGCCTGGTGTGATTCGAACCCTGGAATGTCTAGGTCTGGATTTAGCGAGGCAATCCAGCTCAACAGGCCGGCTTTCCTTAAAATAGCGTCTGAGAAAAAGACGCTTAAAGTGACAGACGCTGGCCCTATCAGCATTTCGACGAACAGAATCACTAATAAAAAAAATCTCAACTGAGATTTTTTATGTTAATAACCAGCGCCCAAAACCCGCTTTGCGGGCCTTGGGCGCTGGGATGCGGCCTTTGCATGAGAAATTTGACTTTCCGATGGCTCGGGTCCTTCGGCCCTCCCTCGTCCGACCACGCGCGCGCGTGCAACTTGCAAGAATGAGGTAATTTGTATTTTTTCACATTATGCAAATTAGCCCTCTTGACCCCAAAAATGAGTAAAACCGGCTTTAACTTTGTAAACTTGTATTTTATTGAAATTCTGAAAATGCCATTGGAAAGAGGAGGGTCGATTCCCCCAAGTGACAGAGAATTAGAGCATTTTATGCACGGGAAGGCCCTCAAATCAAGCCTCGAAAGTGACATCCACACACACCCACACACAGAGATACACCACAAAATTATATAAGGTAGGATGCGTAATTCCCAGGATTTTACGAAATCGAATTACCCTATCTGGGCGTCATTTGTCTAATAAGACCCCAATTATTCGAGATTAGTTTACCCAACCTTCCGATTTCCCGATATACTGATCGGTCCGTTCGTTGTTAGTCCAGATTTTACCAGTCGATCTTGCTAAATTCCTGATTCTGAGAGGACAACCATGAGAGCCATTAAATGCCCATGCAAACCTTGAATGGTATTCAATTGCAAAGGTCGTTGGCGACAAGGTGAATCACTTAGGTTCAAGCCCCGGCTCCGGTTCTTGTGGATTTTTTGCAGGGCTTGGGCGCCAGGGGCAGCCCGAAACCGCAGGACACCTTTAAGGAGGGCACTTTGCGGTCATGGCGCCAAATTCCAGGGGTGAACTTTCTTCTGTGCCTTGGTGGATGTGGAGGTGTTAGCAGAATTTGGATCGATTCGGATTTAATCTAGCTTGTCTCAGAAAATCGTCTACATTACGAACATCGCCTCCCAAACCCCCTCACATTCCATTAGCAGTCAAGCTTGCCACCCTGAAACTGGTAAGATTCGAATCAGTTTCCGAAATGCCACCAGATTCCTCCAGGGGGGCACCGGCTGGAATCGGCGGCTCCAGATTTGCATGTCCCTTTCACGCACACTTGGCACGGCCATTCTTTTCACCGCCCTCCAACCCAAACGTCCTTGGCTTCTCCCTTGTTCGGGTTCCTCGTTCCGATGCAACGAATTCGTGGAGGGGGGATGCCTTTGCCTGGCTAGCCTTCATGGATGGCGTCTCGGCAAATAAAAGGTACGTGTGTCCCTGCCGTCCTCCAATCTCGGCAATCACCACCAACAATATGGAATGGCATCGGGGGGTTCTGGATGGAAGGAGGTATTGGCTGGAACTCTGGAAAAGGGATGAACTTCTTGATGAAGTCGGAGCACTTTGTCTGAATGTCGGACTAAATTCTGGAAGTAAGGATGAACTTGTTGATGCTGTTGGAAACAATTTTGAAATTCGGCCTACACCATCTTCGAAATACCGGGCGTATGAGACGAACCCTTACCTAAAGTGTCGGCTGGGGTGTGGTTCGAGTACGTATCCTGGACGTGTTTGAACTTACTCCACACATGAAATATAACGGTAAGGAACAGGGTTGTTCACGGACGGGCTCGGACGGACGCGGACCCGGACCCGTCCGCGTCCGAATAATTTGCTCCGACCGAGCGGACGGGCTGGGACGTGTCCGGGACGGGCCGGACGGGCTCGGACGCAGGAAATAGCTGAGCCCGCTATGCAAAGCGCAGGTAGCCAAAAATTGCATGATAATTGATGAAATGACGGTTTTTCGCGTTCTTTCCGAAGTAAAGCAGCTAGGAATCAAATGTAAATCAAGAAAAGGCAACAATCGGGCTAAGATGTGAATTTGCTTGCAATGATTTTGCATGTGCTTCCGGTCATTTGCATCGCGGACGCGCGGACGCCCCAGCCCGCACTGCGTCCGTCCGGCCCGTCCGGGACCCGTCCCAGCCCGTCCGCATTTTTTTATGCAAATTGCGCGGACGGGACGGGTCCGCGTCCCGGGCCGGACGGACGCGGACCGGACCCAAAATGAACAACCCTGGTAAGGAAGAAATAGTGCAACAAACCGATCCCAGCCGAATCCCTAGACCACGTAGCGTTTAACCCTCATTCCAGTGATATTGAACATTAATGCGTTCTTACCGACCTGCCTTATCATTCGGCCCCCCAAATCCAAGACAAGAGAAGATCACCCCCGAATATCCGGCACATGCAAATGTTCTAGAAATCGATTTTCTGGGCCCTATTAGCCCATGTAATCGGAATACCTTACGACTGCTGATTCTTCGGTTTTGAAAAATAGACGGCTTACGGTTCATTATCTCCGGCTTTTATTGTTAAATGTTTGTACAAATAGTTTCCTTTGGAAAACAGCATGGAGTTTCCTCTAGCTTGCTATTAGTTTATCTGGTTATGCACAAAACTTACGCAACAATAGCTACAAAGGCTTTATTCTTTTTAACGAGTAAAATTTAGCCGCGACTTCTCGAATTATGCACTTGTTGAAGCACCACTTTTTGACTGCTTGTAGTTTAAATCAGCTTCTTCGAAAGAAAAATGCTACATAAAATGCCATAAATAGTCTCCAAATGGCTTCGACCCGGTCTCTTCAACCCAAATGTTACAAAAATGCTATAACTGTCAGCCTTATTGCTTCCGAAAAGCTATGTAATTTCTAAAATTTTTCATTGCGAAAGTTGCGGCAAAATGGATCGAAGAAAATTACCATAAAATATTGGCTTCTTCATCAGTTAACTAATATGTTGGCATCATGAGACTTTTCGTTGCACAAGCGAACGGAATTGTCGACATTTTTTCACAACTTTTGGGCGCTAGTTCTTTCCTATCAAGCTTTCACTTAACATCGACTTTTCATCTAATTTCAGTTACACAAGTGGCATAAGTCATCCTTTATCAATTTTTTTTCCTCCGGGGTTCTTTTTTGTAGGACTTACATCTAATCCATTACCAATCCTAATCTAACCGTTTGAATGGGCTCGGCAAGCCCACATAAGAAGTCGTTTTAGACCGGGGGGCAACCCACAGTTGAATACTGTGGTCTATGAGTCGAACCACGGGATAGCGGACAACGGCTAGGCCTCTATAGCAGCAGGAAATCGCTTCATGCTCTTCTAATTATATCCATCTCCACTGGAAAAGCCTAGGAATCGATTATCCCCAAAACCCAGAAATCCCTTGTCGGGCACCTCCTCTAGGCTTTCAAGTAGTTTTGGACATGTAAAACGTCAACCGCCGAGTTTTGAAGCTCTACAGCCCAACCTAGTGCTATTCAGGACCAAAAGCTATAACCATTCGGCAGGTATCTAAAATGGCAGAAATAGGTTTCTTCCCTTCCAGTCTACTTCCTGAACCGACTTTTAAAGCCATTTTCCGGGTCCGACTAATGACCGGCGCGTATTAGAGGAGATTATTGAACCTTCCGTTACCTAGGAGTAAACCGACAGGTCAATGCACCTCTTACTTCCTGCCAATCTGAAATCCATAAACGCGCATTAACAATACCGCAACAGCAATCTAGACCACTAAAATGGGCAGTTGAGGGTTTACCGAGTTGTAATTTTCCAGATTTTTCTGTGGAGACTTTTTATATCATCCGGTCATTCACGCGCTATATCGCCGATATGTACCCATTTCCGTACATTATTTATTCCCTGTCTGGCGCGCCTACATTGCATAAACATATTTCCTCGATCGCTCCTTCCTTCTCAGTCAAGCCCACTTAGTATTTTTGACATGCCATTGATTCAAGCTACACCGCGCCGCCAGTCCAGGCCCGCCGAGGTCGTGCGCCGGTCATATCATACCCACCGCTATTTGTCCCCACTTGCAATTTTACTAATTACCTCAATCGATTAAAATTATAAATTTCAGCATCCTGCTCCCTAACAGTAAATATGGGAAAACCAAAGAAAAAGATCCCTAAAGTTACACCGCCCGCCCCATACGTGCCACTGAAAGAAGATGAGATTGGTATGTTCATATCAAAATAACTTTATTTTTGTTCAAATTAGACTACGGAAAGCTAGAGAAAGCTGTAAGTTCGGGGGCGGCCGAAATTGTCTACATGATTCGTACGCAGATGAAAGTGAAGATGTGTTGTCGGTAGTTAAAAATTAAAATCTGGTTAAAATTGTATTTGTTTAAGTGTATGCGGTAAAGAATGTACTTCAATGGCAGAAATGATTACGCATAAAAGGAAGGTAAGCGAATACAAGATAACTTGAGATCCAATATATTTAATTTAGGATTGTCGAACAAAGATGGATACATCAGGAAGCGTGGCATTGGCGCAAGCGTTAGAAGGCATTGCTGATGGTAATGAGGAACTAAAAGGTATGCAGAATAAAACCTATGGCCTGATACCAAATTACTTTTAGAACAGTTAACGAAAATCCTTCAACACCCGCCAAAATCTAAAAACAGCCGAGACATGGTGGCTGCTGTTGATCGAGGGATTGAGAAGAATGCCAGCACCATCCTTCGAAAAGTCCCGGATTCCACCAAATTCCATAAGGGATATCAAATTGTAAGTTTAATAGCTTCAGTGTTTCTTAGCAGCCCGTTTTAGTGCCCCACTCCGTACGCAGGTGATGTGTATCGCAAGGATCGTCCGGTTGATGAGAAGAACGAATTGACAATGATTGGAATGCCTTCCTTAAAAACGTGAGTTCATACCGGCTAAACTTCAAAATAAAAACACTTTAGTATTGGGAGCAATGAGATTGGCCTTCGATCGAAAGGACGTTTGGAATTGGCGAGGGAAGGTGATAAAACTGAGGTATAGGCTACCAAGAGCATAATACCCATACAAAACCTTATTTTAGTTTCCATTACTTGATCGCATCACCGATCATCCATCAGCCAGTCACTACGCCGACTTTGTAACGTTCAAATGCCTACACGAGGATTGCGCTGCGGAACCCGTAGGTTAAATTGAACCTCCCTCGTAGGTTTTTTTCAGGAATTCGCTGATATGGAAGTCCTTGCCTATCACGTTACTGCAGCTCATCCACTCGCGCATGATATGTTCCAATGCTTGGTTTGTGGAAACGTGAAAGACGAGTAAGGGAAAAGGATATAACGGAAGATTATCACATCGTTTTAGTTACAAAGAGCTGAAGAAGCACGTGGAAGAAACGCATTCGGACCTGCTTTGGCGTCACAAACAGCAACGCATGCGGATTTCCAAATTCAAGAAGTATCAAGAGGAGCAAGATGCTATGCGGTTCTCATCAGAAGACCCGAAGGAAAGGAGGACGCGTATGGTAAGTAAAGTAACTGTTTGTCGATTGAACGATTTTATGAAACATCTTATAAAATCGCATACAAAAACTATAAATTGATTATTTTTAGAAGCGCTCTGCGGTACGTAAGAAGGCACCCAGCAAATTTGTGATTCCTGATGAACTCCGAGATAAGTACCACAGCGGCGATGAAGAAGATCATCGGCAGCGCAAAATGATGGACATGGTAGCATAAAAATACATCAAACAACCGCAATCTTCTTTAGTTTGAATACCACGCAACTCTTCCAAAACCCATACCGGCCGTCCAAGCCATGAATTCAGGCGAGCAAAATGTACACACGTGGAATATTGAACGGGAGATCCCAGAAGAGGTTTGCTAAGAATATCATTAAGAGCCTTTCTTCAGAATTATGACGAGAATCAAAAAGCTCTGGAAGCGGCATTCAGTTGGCTGGCAAAGATGGAAGAAGACCTGAAAAATGCCCCGGCAGCCCCAAAGGACGTTGAGCCAACACCGACGTTAAAAAAAGAGCCCACCATGGTAAGCGGGTTTAATAATTTCCTATACAAGGTTTCAGCGACGCATCCCTCCCCCAAGAAACTTCCGGCGCATTCCCGAAAAGGCCGAAGTTAGTGAGACGGACGAAGTGAGAAAGGAATCTCCTTCAAGTGTCCGAGATATGCCTGAATTGGACGGCCCACCAATTCTCGAAGAGGAATTGCAAGCTAATTGTTCTGAACTTGCTCCAAGCAATACCGATTCGGAACGGAGCGAAGAGCACGATATGGAGGACCTTTCTGGCCCTCCTCCACTGGGAGAGCCTCTCCATATCGTCGTTGATGAACATGAATTTCCGACATCATCTGAAACCTCTCCGTCAGGCCTTTTCAATTGTCAGCTTACCCCACGTGCTTCCATCAAACGTACGCCTCAGAAACGGAAAAAGCTCAAGGTGAATTCGTGAATCTCAGACCGGCCATGATCAACTTGCTCATTGATTTTAAAACATTGCCTCATGCACATGTTAAAAGCGATTTTCAGCATTTCCTGCGGTCCCCATTTGATAAGAAAAAGACCGAGCCAGAAACTGATGAAATCGTGATAGCTTCGGTAATTATTTATTCAAATATGGTAAACCGTGTTTAAGATAATGAAAAAGATGCTCTTCAAAATCGAGAAGAAAGAAGTGCGTGATGAATATCGAAAGATATTCACGAAACCATCGCCGAAGTCTTGTATATCGCCTGAGAAAGAGAAGCCGAGACCCAAGGTTGTCACAGACATAATCAAATTTGAAATCAATCGTTTTAGCGCAATCGTCATTCTAACACGCGACTTGACTATGACGACCTTGTGGTTGCTACACATGCCAAAGTTTCTCCTGAAAATTCTCGCTCGACGCCACTTCGAACCCCGAAGGCGAAGTTCTTGCAGGTAAAGCGGTTTCATCTCTCTCGAAAAATTGGTTCTAGAAGTCGCCGAATCCCGCGGTTAACAACCAACACCTTGCGCGAAATACTCCTCAAGGCTTCGTCGGCACTAAAACAGCACATACGCCCGAGCCATCAAAGGTACAGCTTTGAAGCGCAGAACTGTGTAGACCTGGAATACTTTAATGCCTGAATTCCCCATATCACTTGTTCATTGGATCTGGTTAATGTGTCTCGTTCGCTCCATTTTCAACTCCGGTTCCGGAGTTCAGCGAGATACTTGTCCAGTCTTGTGCCAAGTTCCATAGCCATCCTTCCGATTCGAGGGTCTTTTAAAGGCACAGATTGTATTTTCTTGTCTTGTGATAATAAGGAATGTATTCCGACCTCCTCCTCTTGACAGATGCCCTTTGTGCGTGTTGGGTCAGGTGCATCTGCGTCTCCTCTCTTTTTTCGTAGTGTGTCGCGCCAAAAGGGGGTCGACATCTGCCATTTGAATCGGCACAACATTCATGTTTAGAACTAAGATGCTATTTTGGTCTTATTTTGGTCTATATTTTTGAATTTACACGAATTTTTGCAGCGTACGATGCGTCTTGGGACAAGGTCCAACCGCGCTACTCCGGCTGTCGATGCAGGAGCCCCGGATTTGGTATGATACGGAAATTAGCAGCAACTTCGAAATAGAAACCTGAGCTTCCGAAGATCCAAGCGAAAAAGGCAACTCTTCCAGCGAGAGGACTACGAAAAAGTGTACCAGAGATTAAGCAAGAGGTGGACACGGTAAGCAAAAAAATACGAACTATTGATGTTACGCTTCGAAATCCGACAACGAGTTAACAAGCTAATTCGGATCTAAATAGAGGTTCAAAAATATCTTGCCTATCAAAATAAATTTCTTGGTCTTCCGCCTTGTTGCTAATAAGGATTTTGTTCCCGATCTAAAATTCATATTTTTAACATCTTTATCAAGAATCAAACAAAATTCCGCCTGCAGCACAGCACAAAACACATCTAAACACGGCTATTTCAGGAAGAAGTGATGCTCGTTCCTAGTGATGCTCGAAAGATTAAACGCGAGCCCGTCGATGACGAATCGACAACCCGTGATGATATTGATGTCTTGAATCAAGATGCGAATGCTGTAGATTAAACATTTAAGTTATATTATACCCGAATTTAGGCCTCAAAGGACGATGTCGAAGTCGCTCAAAATGCCTCGCATAACCTGAAGCCTTCTCCAAAAAAGGTATTTTGCATCCTCCGGTCTTAAAAATAAATTTAAGACTGGCCGCCCACCGGGGCGGCCGAAGAAGGCGGCTGTTGTTTATGCTGTTAGTGAAGATGGTGCCGAGTCCAACGATTCTTCTGCGGTAATTTTAGAATTGATCGCGGTCAGGATTTATTGTCTTATTTAGAATTCAACTCCTTTGCCTCGTAGCTCACGAGCCAGAAAGCGCCCCGGCTGGATGAGCAACTTCAAAGTGGAGTAAGTTGCGGTAATTAACCAATAACGCAACAATGTAGCGGCGATTCCGATCATGAGTCTCCGTCGACATCACAGGGTCCGGTCGTGATGAAAAAGCAAAAGAAATCTGCAACTCCGTTGAGCCAGGTCAAGAAAGTGCGCGAGATGTAAGTGTGAAACCCCGTCTATATTTTCCGTTCTCGTTTTAGCATCCCGCCAAAGGATTCACCAAAGGAGCATTCACCGGAATTGAATATGGTCGTTCCGGATATTGGAGCATCAGTTACTGTTGAAAATGGAGAAGACTATCACCGCGAAAGCCCAGCACCCGTCCAAAGCCAGAGTGAGAGCAAGAAGGACGAGCCAACTGAAGTCGTCACCATAGATGATGGTATAGCCGATTGTAAAAAAATGTTAGAAAATCGTTATAGATTGCGACTCAAACTATTCTCGGGGTACCTGGGCCAACCGGAAAGGTTTTGTGATGGTTGAGTTCAACGAGAGTCCTGGTAAGCTTCATTTTTGCATACGAGATTGCCCAAATAGCCCGGACTGGGGGAACAAAAAATGTTTTTATTTTCAGTCCCCCGACAACGTAAGCAGCTGCTACAAGGAATCAAGGACGACAACGAAGTGAAATTGCTGGGACTGAAGCAGAAGACACCGGGCGCGGGTCCCTCGACTTGGGTGAAGAAGGAAATCCCGGAGACCAAAGACAAATCACGTGTCGCTGTCTGTCTGACTCCGTACCAGCGTACTCAGCTCTTCTCGCACATGGATCCAGCCGATCCTAGCCAACCAGCAGGGCCTGGCCGATGTCGTCATTGCAATTTCGAGTTCCCGCGGGCTAGAGTAAGTTCCGAAATTAAAAAAAACGTCGGCATTTCTAATGCCGTTTGGTCACAGCAAACCCTTTCATTTACATCAATAACTTTTAGGTTGGCCGTCGACATATAATTGGACACATTCGTGCGGTTCGCGTGCGGTGTACGCTTTGCAAAGCTGGTTCCTTCTTCATCTCCGAAATGCGCAACCATATTCTTTTCCGGTTAGTATTAGTGTAGCAATTTGACAGAAAAAATATATCCGGGAGCTGTGCGTATATTTAAAATTTTTAGGCACTGTCAAATGTCACATCTCCTCCCGCCGGATTTCATTACCGAAGAGTCATCTCCAGCGGACATGCTGATTGTGGATGATTATATCGAATTCGTGCATCCGTCGAAGAATGGTCATGTGTGCTTTACTACTGGAAAGGTTAGTATTTTGGGTTTTGTGGACCAGCACATAGCGGCTCCAGAGTGGTGTTCGTCAATAAGAATTCATATTCAGATAATTTCCATGTCATCGATGAAGCCATACTATCCGGATCCACAAATCGAGGCTAGCATCGCGGGTACCATGATTCCACAGCACCCACTTGATCTGTCCAAGGCCAAAGAGATGGATTTTGCTCTGGCCCTAAATCATGGTAATGGTCTTTCTCAAAATGTTACAAAGCATTTTTAGGCAATGTTCTGGCCGCGGCTCGAAATAATCAGCCGCATTTGACGTTGTACGAGGATATGCATATCCCGGTTCGTACTAATGCCAAATGCTAGTTATTTGTTTTAGGAAATTACAATGTTCGCCGATTTCGATGCGGCATATATGATGGAAGTCAAACAAGAAAAGCCACGGCGATCCCGTGACGACTCTACACTGTAAGGCTTATTTTTATAGATTGGAATAATGGTAATATACCAATTATTCTATGTTAAAAATTTATCATCTTTATTTCAGGCCCAACCCAGTTCACCACCCGGCGACTGGCAACAACTTTAACGAAATCTAAACCTTACGCGTCTATGCTGTGATTCAGTTTGTAAGCGTTTCCGAATTCCAACCTATCCCGTCTCGGTTATTAGAGCTTGTTGGCCATCTAGTTAAGCCATAATCCTGCCAAAAATTCTTTCCCGCAAGATTTTTCATTGTTCACCCACTTTGCATAGATACGAATATGTTCTCCCATATCATTCCAAGACAATATGGTCCATGAATTGGGTATTTCTTTTTTCCTCGCCGCTTATTGCGTGAATTGATATTTTGTATTTTTTTCTAGAGTAGTTATCGATGGTGTTGTGTGTGAATTGACTCTGGTCTACACGTTAAAGTTGTAATTTTAACTATGCGCATTTCACTCTTTTTTCCAGTTGCTTCGTAAATAAATGGTTTGCGTTGTTGGGTTTAAAATTTAAAAATGCACAAATAATCGGGTGAACTTACAAAAAAATCAAGTTTATAGAAAAGCAATTAGAGAATAGTAGATCTTAACAAGCATTGTTATAGGGGCCGCAAAAGTTGTTCTTGATCAGATTATGATTAAGCGGAAAATCCAGCCGATAATCCGATATTAAAATCCAAACCAAACTCCTGGAATCTATGCCGATTCAAATAAGTTAACATTCGAAATCGAGTCCCATTTGAAAGCAGAATTTTTTTCACCCATCTATCGTAATTTGGATTGCCCAATCCTGAGAGGCTATCTGGTTTGATATACCAGTCCACCACTAGCTGTATTATTTCTTGCATATAAGTTCACGGCGGAAGCTGACAAGCCGTATGGACCATTAATTTACCTCCTCGGCCTAGCCGTCCATAAGAGCCATAATTCTTTTGCTTTCTACGGGCCCAAACAACGGGGGTTTCTGGTGTAATTGTCGTGGCGGAGACCCAACATCGCCGGGGGGTCAGCATACACCCAACTCGGGCCACAACGCTATTAGAGAATTTATGGCAGATGAATGGCAAATGCGTGGAGCAAGAGGGTTTATACTCAACCGATGTGCTTATGTTTTTTTTCTTTACGAGATCTTGTCATTTTCGCATCCATATTTTATTTGTTGTTACGCACATTACGATAGGAGCTAAACAAGCACATGGAAACCTGGCAGAGTGACGTGATTAGATTTACCTTTTTCATAATTCAAAACTTGGTTCCATTCAGAATCACGTGATTTTTATTTTCCATTGCGCTAGTAACATTTCGGGATAAATCTTATGCTACCAAGCAACCGCAATTTCGACTTCAAGTGACCATTTTTTAAGTTTAGGCCTAGCAAACTTCAACTGGCGTTTTGTATTCTTATTAAATTTTGTAGGAGGAATTTGAAGCTTTTTTAAAACCCGAGTTATATCTATTAAACCTATTTTTTCTAGTCTATTACAAGTTTAAATTTTCCCGGACCATAAAAAAGTATATAATTATAAACTGCTTTTTTGAGCTGTACTCTGCAAACTTAACCAGGAACAACATCCTATAACAAATTAAAAATCTAGCAATAAAGCCGCGGAACGCCTATCCCCTGAAGCGAGCAGCTGCCCTTTTTGAGGTCAAAACCGGCTTGAAAACCCATCAGCAACCCCCATCTAACAGCTTTGCATCCAAGTACTTACCCCTCCTTCGTTTTCCATCCTCATTCACCACTCACCGGAGGGGAAGGCATCGTTTTGCCGTCCAATCGAATTCCCACAAATTCGCACCCCCGCGTATCTCAGTGAACTTACGCACCCAAAATAGAGCCTTCTATCTCTGCCCCCTGAACGGAGAGCTTTTGATTTTTTGTGTTGTTTTTGAGCACGAAATCCCTGAGAAAATGAAGCCCGGCGGTCACAGGCAGCGACCCGCGTCACACTACAATTCCATCAAGTGATTGTCATTGAAGTGGTTCTCACCCGGATTTTCGCGTTCTATTGCTATCACGTCATTGAAAACATCGGCGAGCAATTTCGGGAAGTGCCATTGTTGCTTTTTTTGCTTTATTCCGAAGGAACAGCGGAGCCGATTGAATTAGGTATGGGGTCCTGTCTGAATTTTTTTGGGGAGGTTGGGATGAAAGAAGAATGTTATGATGCAGAAGACGAAGAAGAAGTCGAAAGATGATGCCAGTCTAGCTCGGTTGGGCGGAAAAGCTCGTATTACTCTAGGAACGTCTTTTTAAGGGTTTGTCGTTAAAATTAAGATTTTTAATGGTTGTTTTCTTTATATGTATAGAGTCTCTATATAAAATTGCATAAAAGATGCAATGTGTATTTTTAAGCAACAGTGAAGCGTAGGAGAAGCCGAGGGCATCAAATTTTAACAAGTTTTACGCTAAGCTATAAATAAATCGGGTGTATTTGCGTGTGAGTTTCGAAACCCTTCAGTATTCTCTCTCCTGACATGTGGGAAATGTTTAACAAGATTTTTGATGCATCATTTGGTGTTTAATGTGTTCTGGATGGGCGCACTCACAGCAGAATTCTGAAAATACGCTATTTTTATATTAATATTACAATCGGCTGACCCATCTACTGGGAAAAATAACGTCCACCGGCAGTGCGAGAGCGAGAGAGAGAGACAGAGAGAGAGAGAAAGGGAGGAAAAAGGTTTTGTGTCTTTTCCGGCAAGATTTGTGGGCGAATTTACTAGTAAAATTTATCGTAGGGCCGTGATAGGCCCCATCAAAATTTACCTACAACTCGTTTAATGCTAATTTATTGTAGTCTGTTTCAGTGATTTTTTTGATTCTTACTTTTTGAATCCCGCCTAACCAGAGCGGGGGTTTCTTTCACAGCGGAGATTGTAGGATCGATTGTTGGGCCTCATTTGGGCGTAAGTGTGCGAGTGGAAGCCCGGAGGTGAACCCCGGTGGGGGGCGCTAATCCGAAGGTATTGGAATTAAATCCCTGGAATGCCCTTCTTCTCTTCACCCTGCCATCAGTCTCTACCACCCATTATCCAATAGGGGGGTTTGAGAGGTTGATTGGGGGGAGGGGGTAGTGGGCCACTAGACACGACGACAAAAGCAGGTGAAGGGCAGGCTTCTCCCTCCCCGCCTTCTCCCCCCGCCTTCTCATTCCACACTACCAAGGTTTCACTACATACCATCTGACTGGCAGCCCCGAGCTGGGAACCTCTCATTTTCCATACCTTACTATATACAATTGCTTTCTCCAACCCGTTTTCTGACCTAGATCTCACATGTTATAAGCTCGGTCTAACCTTGATGAGCTGCTATTCATTCTATGCAACATGTCCCTTCTAACGAATCTGCCTTTTCCAGTGAAATGAAATGACAAAGCTGTCTAGAGGTTTTTTGGGCGTTTGTTATGTTATAAGCGATTATGACTGCCACCACCCCCCTATAAATTTCAGATTATTTTAGCCGGCTATTATAATTTGTAATTCCGTTCAGCTTTAAAGGGACTAACAAGTCAGTTGCATACTGAGATAAACCTCTTGAATTTACTTAGTGTCATTTATTGAACTTAATCGAGAATTGTTTTGGCGAAGAGTAGAATTGCATTTCTACAATCACCCTCAATATATTGAGCTAACGTGGTAAATCTATTTCAAATTTTTATGATATAATTGTTGCTAATGTTTCTTCACCACTTCCTTAGAAATTGTACGCGTTTTGGATCGCTTACAAGGGAACCACCCGAGGTCGAGGTGGCGTTTCGTTATGGGACCCGGCCTATTTTGTGCAGAATTTTTCGCTGATTCCGAATCCGCTGCTCATTTTTGCCAAATAGCTCGTTTTAAAAAGTTATAGCGCTACAAAGTTCCATTTTTTCCCAAATTTGTGAACTTCAAAGCCATTTATTTTGCGTTTCCCTGCTGATTCATCAAAAACGAATATTGCCATCGTATTCAGAAAATTTTTCTCTATCGAATGAGCTATTTAACTCAAAATTGTTGGAAATCGAAAAAATCGACGATACTTGGTATGGACTTCGTTTTTTGTATGGGAAATGGTGAAAAACAGGCTATTTCACACTCCCATAAGTGATCATCGATAGGCAGTAGCGCAGTAATGAAATATACCATTCGAATCAGAAAAAAATTCTCTACAAGATAGGCTATTTAAAATGGATTGGCAAATTAAAACAAAAAAGTTGGGCATCGTGACAGATGACCGCCCGCGGGTTCAAATATGATCTTAAAATTGCCGTAACTTTTTAAATCGGGCTATTTGGCAAAAATTGAAAGCGGGTTCGGAATCAGCAAAAAATTCTGCACAAAATGGGCTGGGTCCCATAACGAAACGCCACCTCGACCTTAGGTGGTTCCCTTGTTAGTTCGATAATTGAAGCTCTATAATGCATCGTACCCGAAGCCTTGACCACCGCCGCCCCCAAACAAAAAACACCCCAGAATAGGAAACTTCCATCGACGATTAAATCGGATGTTCTCAGTTCGAAAAAAGCGGGGATCTATTTGGGATGGTGATGGCGGACAGGGATTTGCGGGGTAGGAGACCAAATCCACTTTGTGTAGGCCTCAAACAGGACCTATGGCCATCCGCCACCGAGGCACACTGGATGAGGTGGGTGGCCCCTGTTTGGACCTAAAAAAAGAATGGGAGGAAGGAGAAGCCACACGCTGTTCTCCCATGTTCTAAAGTGGCTAATCTCCACCGGCTGCTGTGCGTAATGTCAATTTGAGGGAACTGCGAGGCGGGATTAGCCATTCAGACCGATCCTGGTGGATCGTAATCTGGTGAAAACTCCATCAAACATCCACCGGATTTATGTTAATCCTGAGATTAGTTGAAAGTTTTTGGGGCTTCCTTTGTCGTTGGTGATGGGGGGGGATTTGTCGGGATTAATTTGCACGGGATGTGAAGGAATTTGAGCTGTTTTTAGAAATTGATATTAGCAATTTTAAATCTAGATCAGAATTATAATAGTAAACGTTAATATAGACTTATAAAACAAGGAAGTTTATTGGGATAATTAAATCTTCACAGCTCGGGCAAAAATGTCCAAATTTGTATCTACTTGCACTTCTTGAACTTGACAAAATTAAAACCACCTGTTAGTTTTCTACTAAGGTTTTTTTAGTTACAGATTCAATTGGAAGTCAATATACTTTAATAAATTGATCATCACCAGCTTCGAATCAAATATATCGAGCTTATCTACTCTTTTTTCCCCACACCTAAGGCTCTCAAACCGAAATTTCCGGGTTCAAAAATTAAACACAACCATCTGCAATCGAGCCCAAACATGAGCCACCAAACCTCCCATTAAATAATCCAATGGGAAAGGCTGTGCCCCTACCCCCTTGTTTTCCACCCGCTTCCCATTCGCCATTATGCATTCCCAAATTGCACGCATTCCAACAACACACACACAGACAGCAATAATGCCGAATGTGTGCCTTTTTTGGAAGCCACCAATTTTAGACATTTTCTACATTGCGGATTGTAGAGTGGGACGCAGAAAATTACTGGCTTTTCGGGGATGCTGGGGTCTAATAAAATCGGGTAGAGGGGATGTGTACCTCTCCCTTGGGCATCGCTTCTACCCCTCTCACTGAATTTGGTCTGGACGGCAGCGGATGGGGGGAAGAGCCCGTAATTATCCTAAAAGAGGTTGTTAACCGTCGTGCCCGTTTGCGGGATGGGCAAAAAGCCATTGGCTTCGCGGTCAAACGGCATTTGGATTTTTGGTAGCTCTCAAAAACATTGTCTGCGTATTTCGGCCTTTCTAAAAGAAAAAAATTGTATTTTATTGTATTTTATGTATTTTAAAAACTTTTTTTAGCTACTTAGCTTTTAGTTAAATTTAGTAAACTTTGAGGAAGGATCTTAGTTAATTTAAACCAGTTAGTAAGTTCTAAAAGATGTCCAGTAAGAGCACTGACATTTTGCTTACCAATTTTTATGTCTCACCCATCATTACAGCTAAATCGTGTCTTGTCGAAATCCGTTGTTTTTTTTCGAGGTAACACTTAAGAATTCAAATGGTTATTAGATTTTTTTACTTGAAACAAAGGTGCTGGTTTCCTTACCTATTTTTTAAAAACTTTACATAAATCAAAAATTTTCAAGAATAATCTTTAACAATAGTGGAAAAATAGCATATTTCGCCGCCTAAATCCGTAATACTTGATCTCAACTCTCAATCCCAACCTCACAACACGAACTTTTTATTGCTTGACCCGCTGACAAGCCCGATACTGACCTTCCCCACCATTTTCTGGTCCCCTTTTTAACGTTTCTCGTTGATTAATAGACCACTTTATCATTCAACGATGCGTCATGTGTTTGCCCTGCCAGTCAACAAGTGTAAAGAACACGCTACGTGTGTTGTCGCTTCCATTCGGTTCGATCGCGATCATTTTTGAAGGTTGTTGTTGGATCTCTTTGTTCAAGAAACCATCTTTCATATTCAAATAAAATGCTTGTGGGTTAAACTAATTCTAAATGTGATTTTGACATTATCCAGGTTTTTATTTTAAAGGGGCATTGAAGTTATTCGTGGGCTGTGAAATAGATGTTTTGTTTGACCAGCTCGATGGTCTTTCCGGCCATAAATGACCACAGTATAGCACCTCCTATCTGATCATCAAATCAGCTATAAACTGGTAGCTCCCACTCTCAATTTTCATCCCTCAAGGGGCTCTTTTATATATATATCACAATGCGACTGGGCCTGATCATTTGATAAGGTACAGATGGAGACTGAGAAAAGCAGCACCACCGGCGATTCATCACCGCTCCTCCACCTCCGTCTCTCTCTCTCTCTCTCTCTCTCTCTCTCTCTCTCTCTCTCTCTCTACTTCTTTTTGTCCCTAACCCTTTTCACCATCGTCTCTATATCCATTGGGGTTGAGGTGTCTGTTGTGACCGACCTACGGCAGCCATCGCGATTTTGCGTCAATTATCCACACACCTGCATTGGACGGGGTGTGTTGGGCCATTGAGACCCGGCCGTTAGTGGACCACTAACGTACTCTCATAATAAAATGGATATTGGGTTATATCAATGCTTATTTTGTTCCTTGCTTTTTTGTTGCTTGAACGGACCGGAAATGCGCCAAATTCCAAACAGACCCTTCAGCCTCGCTTTAGATTATTTAGTATCATGTTATAACTTACATCCTTGCATCGAAATATAGCAAAAAGCCACTAGCTACCTATTTTACGGCTTTTTAGTATTTTAACTCTACCCCTCGTACTTCTCGAATTACCGTAGTTACCTAAACCCAAAAAGTAGCCCATTTTTTTTCACCAACCAAATCAGCATCCGTTTTGGGTTTCCCTCCACGTGACAAAATTAGGGAGGATTTTTCAGATAATCCCCCCTCAACATCCCATCTCTCCTAAAAAAGATTAGCGATAGTTAACCCTATTCCTGGCACCAACTATCCCCCTCACAGCCTGCAGAACCGGATTACCAGAATAATATGATTCCCCCAGGTCCCATACATACTGGTTCATTTTTACGGCCTATTTCCTCGATCTTCGCCTAACTCTTCCTCCCCAACGAATGTCCAGAAAATCTCGTCCCCATCCCCGCTTGCTAACTCGCATTCCAAGCCGCCCCCTCATTTCAGCAGCTGAACAAACTATCCAAGCACTGGCCGCCGGGAAGTTCTAAGCTGTTTTCCACACTTGCACACTTTCCCCTAAAACACTTGATACGCCTCAACATCTTGATAACATCAATTTTGACATACATTGCGTTATTATTTTGTTGTTCTGTGGCTATTTCTTGGCTTTTTACGTAGTAATAGCTACCTAATCGGGTCAGCATTGCCGGAAATTACTCTTCTCTTTTTATCTGTCATAACAGCCCCTCTTTACATGGGAACGATGCGATAAAATAGTTATTGCCTTCCTTGAGAACTCTCTTCCGGAGAGATACCTTCGAAATGAAGATACCTTTCTTCTTTTCACCTAATTTTTCTACTTGTTTTATGCCGTTTTCACTTAATTGCTCATAATTTTCTTCCAATTTTTCCAACATCTCGGAAATCAGCCTCCCGCAACATTCCTCATTTCAGCAAAAAACACCTGTCCACAACGACGTGTGAATAGAAATGAGGATTGCGTGAAGAGCGAGCTTCCACATTTTTGTTCTCCCTGCCAACCGAGAACCATTGGATTGATTCCCGATACGCCTGACCCTTTTTGTGAAAAGCATTTATGAGGTGGGTGGCTGTGTTTACATGTTCCTCATAATGCCCCTAACAACAGATGGGCGCCAACAGCACCAAGCAAGCCAGCGAGCAGAAGAAAAAGAAAGCCAACAAGAAACTACAACCGGAAGAAATCCGGGAATTAGAGGAGCGCACTTATTGTATGTTTCTATTTTTCTATAAGTATACAAATCAAACATTTCAGTCACAAAGAAGGAATTGAAAAAATGGTATAAAGATTTCGTGCGCGATTGCCCGACGGGAGAGTTGAAGATTGAGGAATTCCAAGGTAATTTTTAAGCCAATACTCTTAAAATAGATTTCTAGGGATCTACAAACAATTTTTCCCTAATGGAGACCCTTCCAAATTTGCGGCCTTTGTTTTTAATGTATTTGATGATAACCAGGTATTTTCTTATAGATTTTTATAATTGCTGACTTTAAGGATGGTCACATTTCCTTCAAAGAATTCATCGCCGCACTATCAATCACAAGTCGGGGGACGTTGGATGAAAAACTTGATTGTAAGAAATTTTAAATATTAAAGCTAGAATTAAAAATCTAGGGGCCTTCTCGCTTTATGATGTGGATAAAGACGGATACATCACAAAGGATGAGATGGCCAATATTGTAGATGCAATTTATTCAATGATTGGGAACATGTTGGAGCTCCCCAAGGACGAGGTGGGCGCGGATTCCGATGCGGAATATTCAAATATTTAGGATACGCCGCAGAAACGCGTGGAGAAAATTTTTGCAAATATGGATAAGGTGGGTGAAGAAGCTGTTTTTTTATACTATTTTCGGTATTACCTTACACCTTTAGTTGTTATCAAAGGGATCGTAAACCTAAAAAAATTTGTAAGTGCGCCACTTTCAGAATTTGGACGGGATGCTAACGCGGGAAGAATTCAAAGAAGGCTCGAAAGCAGACCCGTGGATTGTACAGGCCCTTACTATGGATATGAATTCCGCTGCGGCCTAATTAACACTTAAGATACCTAATTCCACTTCTAAAACTGATCCCAGACCATCAATCCCCTCCGTTGTGATATATCTATCATCTGAACTGCTCGACAGCTTCTGCCCAAACACCCCTTTGATCTCGTAAATGGTAATGCCCCACTTGGTGAAGGGCAATCTACTGGCTGCGATCCTTTTAATCAAAAAATATACCAAAAGCCTGTTAGGAAGCTAGTATAGATCGGCAACGCTAGCGCTAAATAGGCATTAATCGCTTTTGTTAATTCCAAAAAGATCATTAATCGAATCGTTCCAGCTACGAATCCCCGGAATACCCATCATGACCATATTGACCTGTCCTTTCCGACCGGTTATAAATACATATTATTTTTGTGTAAGGTCTCTCCGTAGATATCCAAGCATTCATCATCTTTATCAAGCGCTTGATAGCCGGAGACGGGGGAAGAAGAAGAAAACACAGACAATCACACGCATACACGCAGAATTGACAAATAATCCTTTTCCAACCACACAACAGCACATCCAATTCGGAAATCACATCAATTTTGCGGGGGGGATGAAGGGAATTTCGGGGGGTGATTAGACTGGAGATGGGGAGGGTGAGTAAGGCTTGCGCAAGCAATCGTAAACAGGTTCAAATAGAACATACCCAAAAAATATCGATTAAATTAGAAAGCAGCAACGTGATCCCATATACCAAACCATTATGTAAATCAACGCAAAAAAATCTTCAAAATCGATGCTAATAATAAATAGGGGGGAAACAACACTGGATGGTAACCCCCGGGGAGCAAGAAGCTGCTGGATGTTGGTTGAGAGTGAAGGGGGGAGATTGGGCTTCGGATTTTTGAAACGGCCTAGCACCAGCAGGCTCCATCATCTGTGACGATTTGACGTTGCTTGATTGGTTCGATACTGACGAGGGCGGCTGAAAAATAATGGGATTAAAATCGATAGAAAATAGTTATATTAAAATCTTCGTCCAATGTTAAAGACTACCAGAACGATGGAACGCGCACTGTCACCCCGAGGGTGCTGCCCCCCAGAACGCGCGGAGAGATGCGTCATTAGTGGTGCCCCGTACTGGGCAAAGGCCCTCTGGGGTTTGGGGCGTCTCTGACTCCCTTCCCCACTTGGCCCTGTGGTGTAGTGGCTAGCGCGTCGGACTGTGGAGCGAACCATCGCGGGTTCGACTCCCGCCCGGTGCGCAACTTTCTTGCTCTCAACGGAATTTAATCGTTCTGACGGTCTTTAAAGGTGTAATTTTTATGAGTTAAGCATGAATCGGGAAAGTGGTTGCGTTAAATGACAGCTGAAAATCTGAGTTTTAGCGCAAAAAGCAAGCTCCGGGCGGGTTCGAACCCGGGCTTTTTTCATCGCAAGCGAGCACATAGCTAAATACTTTCGAAAGGTGCGATAGTACATGCTTCTTTATAGTAAATGGATGTTAAAATTTTTGTTTTGATAAATGCCGAAAAGCTGCAGAGAATTTTAAATTTGGTGAATTTGTGGGTAAACCTTATGTACACTCCACATCAAATACAATGTCCTCCAAAGAAACATTCTAACTTCGCCGTTGAAATAAACAAAATAGAGAAAATCACCGTAACGATGTGAAATAGAGAAAGCTGAAGTTATAACTTTTAAATCTGATTAATTTGGGAAAAACCTCAATTACAGACCACACCACTACTAAAACCATTAACGGTAAAAACATTAAAGTTTAAAGAATAGAAAAAATCACGGTGAAGCTATAAAATTCAGCAGCTGCATGCGGACGCGGTCTCCCCTTCCTTGGCGCCGTTCGGCAAAACGACGGTTGGTGTCGGATCTAAAGTCACAAACGCATAGCCAGAGCCACACACGACACAACCAATACGTGCTGTTTAGTGCTGAGAATATTATAGGAAAAAATACAGAAGTAAGCATGCGTTTTAGCTGTAATTTAAGGAAAAAGGTGGTAACCGTTTTGAGGGTAACTTACTATCAGAGCGATTATCGTGGTTCTCGATCATTCCTGGGAGAGCGGATGCGATGCGGCGGAACAGCTAAACGTTTGGTAAATTTTGTAGGCTGTTTTTACTCACGTGTTTCACATTGTAGCCAGCCTTTGCAGAGGTCTCGACGAACATCACGTTCAATTCGTTTGCCTTGCGCTCACCTTCTTCGGTAGTAACTTGCCTGGAAATTTGGGATTATAAATTGATTTACAAATTGGTTTTAATTCAGGTTATATTATTCTCACCTACCTTTTGTCTGAAAGATCGGTCTTATTCCCGACCAACATGATGATGACGTCGCTACCACGTTCGGTTCGCACGTCATCAATCCATTTTGAGGTCTGGTGGAATGAGTTTGCATCTAAAACATCATTAGTGTTGCTTTAAAAGATAAGATCATTTCTTTTTCAACAGAATTCTAATTGTTAACAAATCACTCGGCGCTAAAATCAAGCGTCCATTTTAATGATAATAATAAATCTATACAACTCACTCGTGATATCATAAACAACAACAGCAACAGTAGAATCACGAATGTAAGACGGAATCAATGACCGGAAACGCTCTTGCCCTGCAGTGTCCCACAATTGAAGACGAACCTGAATTCTTGTCATCAGCACTTCATTTTCACTCTTACCGTGCGATCCTCCAGATACATCGTTTTTGACAAAAAGTCAATTCCTATCGTAGCCTGATATGTGTTGTCGAAGCTGTCATACATGAAGCGTGTGATCAATGAAGTCTTACCCACTAAAATAACAATCGTCGTGAACTAATTATCAATTTTCTCTTATTCATACTGTTTGAAATAAATATTAATTTAAATTTTCTCTTTTTTAAGGTCAGGAATTATTTTACACGACTCACCACTTTGCTCTCCCAAAAACACCAGCTTGAACTTCTTGAGCGGATTTCCAAAATCGGATGCCATCTCGCTGAAAAAAATGCCAAAATCTAAAAAAGCTTTCCCAAATTTTGGAATTTCAAACGGCAATCGTGCGAACTAACGGCTCGAGGCAGAATCAATACAGCCCGTTGACACGTCACAGAGATGAAGAAACGATTTGCACGGGTCACTGACTCAAAGGAGATCCTACGATTTTTTTCCGAGCCCGTTTTATTACGAGGGAAACAGTTTGGCAAAAATATTCGCGGCACGATTAGCCGATGAAAATTCGTGGCGGACAAGCGCTACAGGGTGGAAATCGATGACCATTCACCTATCCCGGGCGTTGAATCAACAAAAGGGCCGAAGGGTCGTGCGGGCTGGTCAGTTAGCTACCTAGCCAAACAAAAAAAAAGAACCCGCTGGTCCGCACGCCCGTTAGAGGAGTGAAGCCGTCAGGTTAAAATCGCAGTATAGTTTGGAGAATTTGAAAAACGGGGGGCTCAATTTTACTTTTATAATAATGATTCGTTGCGAGGGCAGGTGCAAAGGCTAAAAATTGTCCACACAGGAGGAAATTCGTAAAGGAAAAAAAAACAAAAAAGTAAGGGAAGGTTTGTATCTTGAGCACCACTATACGAGGGGAGCCACGCATCATAGGGTTATCAGGCGTTCTATGAATCACCGAGAGAAAGGGCAAATATATTCCACTCATGCAAAATAGCAAAACGATGTTTTAGGAAATCCTTCTTTAGGTCAAGCTGAAATTTGGGATCGGGAGGGTCAAAATGGATTCCAGCTCATGGCTTGGAACCGGCATCTGAGCAAAGATCTACGAGATATGGAGTGCTCTTTTTCCCCCATTTTTCCTTTCTTACGGCTAGTAAATCCGTGATGGAGGACAGGTAAAACTAGAACTACTCCTTCAATGCAACAGAGATCGTAATGATGAGACGAAATGATTTGCAGCGTCGAGGACTAGTCTACTGTCTTCCTGCCGAACTGGAGCAAGAACAGACATTACTGTAAGAACATCGCTAATTCTGTTACGGTTTTGCGCATTTGATACATTGCAGCATTGATTCTGTGCTTGGAGAACGTTTCATTTAGTAGAAAATCTTTCCGAACCCAGGATGAGAATTTGGCACACAGATCTTCGCACCCTGTGTGCGCGGGCTAGAAGCGAGTGCAACGAGATTCAAACAGCGATGACGTTGTTGGGGTTAGATTACTCATCAAAATTGAAAAGTTATGCTTCTGTTGCTTTAGCAATTCCTATAAATCCTCAATTCTCTCCATGAATAGAAAATCACTTGGGCCCTATGTTGGGGCTTGGGTCTTTTGATTTAGAGGTGGCCATGGGGCAAGTATTAATATCATTAGTATGAGATATAAATAACGGCAAGATTAAATGCCCTAATGTTTTATCATTATTACGGTAATCCATGTGGATGCGAAATCGCGAAGGTCCAAATCGCCTGGTCTGTCGATAGCCTACGTGCGACGCCCCTTGACACCAAGACAATGAACCCTTTTGAGGGCCCAAATAAAAACAACCTGTAACAAATGCGAACCATGAAAAACAATAAGAATTTCTACTAATTAGACTTTTTGGCGTTTTGTTTGGTTACCTCCTCATTCTCTTCTTTTATTTTATTATTTTGGCTACAGTTCACCGTTTCAGGGCAGCGATGAGGCTGCTGAACCGTGTTGGCTTCATCAACACGAGTTACGGCTCCTTTCGATATGTTGCCGCTGCACGACAGTCTCCGTGAGTTTTCTACTTTGTTTTTTATATTGTTTTGGATTGTATTTGGTATGACTGCGGAAATGCCTGGGAATTGGCTCAATCCCCAGGCATTTCAGCTGAAGAAACAGTTTATCAGCCTACTTTTTCAGGGTCGATCGACGCGAGGACCGCAGTATCTACGTCACGGACCCCATCAACCCCTCCGAGTCGAAATTTGAGAAAATTTTGATTGCAAACCGTGGAGAGATCGCATGTCGTATCATCAAGACTGCGCAAGCAATGGGCATTCAAACCGTGGCCGTGCATTCGGACGTTGACAGCAATTCACTTCATGTCAAGGTATTACACACCACCTTCATGCGTTTATTGGCTTCTGGCTGTTCTCTTCCATGCTTTACAATGGTATATCTACTTAAAAATACTTTTAGTTGGCTGATCAAGCTGTTTGTGTCGGCACAGCTCCCACGGCGGACTCCTACCTTCGTGCGGATCGGATTCTCGACGCTGTTCGGCAGACTGGAGCTCAGGCTGTCCATCCTGGTTACGGCTTCCTCTCCGAGAACACCAAATTTGCGGCCGAGCTCGAGCGCGATGGCGTGATCTTCATCGGGCCCAATTCAAAAGCCATCCAAGATCTTGGCGACAAGATTCACTCTAAGAAGATAGCATCGGCAGCTGGTGTAAACATGATTCCTGGATTTGATGGAGAGATCGTTGACGAGGAGCACTGCGTCAAGATTTCGAACGAAATTGGGTATCCTGTGATGATCAAGGCATCTGCTGGCGGCGGTGGCAAGGGAATGCGTGTCGCTTGGAATGACAAGGTAACAGTAACGCCTTTTATGCCCTACCGAAATTTAGGAAGCTCGCGAAGGCTACAGACTGTCGAAGCAAGAGGCTGCCTCATCATTCGCGGATGATCGCATGTTGGTCGAAAAGTTTATCGACAATCCGAGACATATCGAAGTGCAGGTCTGTTTTATCGATGCGTTCCTGCTTCAATTAAAGATTTAGGTGCTAGCTGACAAGCACGGAAATGCCCTTTACCTCAACGAGAGAGAATGCTCGATCCAGCGTCGCAATCAGAAGGTGATTGAGGAAGCACCATCATCGTTCGTTACGCCTGAAATGCGCAAGAAGATGGGGAACAAAGTGTGTTCGCTTCGCCTTGTTTTTCTATCTCATTTTAGCCGTTCAACTGGCGAAAGCGGTGGGGTACGACAGCGCCGGAACCGTAGAATGGCTGGTGGATTCCAAAAGAAACTTCTATTTCCTCGAAATGAATACTCGCCTGCAGGTAAAGTTATATTGACCCCCAGTCAACTTTTTTCTCAGGTCGAGCATCCCATCACAGAGTGCATAACTGGAATCGATATTGTGCAACAGATGATCCGAGTTGCGCATGGGCACAAACTGAACATCAGCCAGGATCAGGTTGAAGGCTGATCCTCAATTATATATGCCTTTTTTAAAGGTGCCTCTAAACGGATGGGCATTCGAGAGTCGTGTCTACGCTGAAGATCCTTACAAAGGCTTTGGCCTCCCCTCTGTCGGCCGGCTTCATCGTTACGTCGAGCCCCATGGAAATGGGATCCGTTGTGATTCTGGTATGTCGCTGTTTTAGGTTATTGATACCTTTCTAGGAATTCGTGAGGGTTCCGAAATCTCGATCTACTACGACCCACTTATTTGCAAACTGGTTACTCACGGCAAGGACAGAAACACTGTAAGAAGAAAAGCCTTCTGCTAAACCGTGTTTATAGGCTCTTGACACGATGCGTGATGCTCTTGATCACTATGTCATCCGTGGCGTCACTAACAATATTCCCCTGCTCCGGGATATTGTCGAGGCGAGCGATTTTGATCGTGCTGCTAATCTTTTTCTTTAGGAGAAACGCTTCCGTTCGGGCAACATCACTACAAAATATCTTCCGGAAACGTATCCTGAAGGGTTCAAGGGCGCTCAGTTGAACGAAAAGAGCAGGACACGGTTTGGCTTGCTTTATAAGAGTCATCCACCTATTTAGGTTATTGGATTCGCTGTGGCCCTCCACGCGCGAAAGATTGCTCGGGCAAAGATCTTTACTAACCAGGTATTTGGGTTCAGTTGGTTGGTCATTGTATTGTCGTTTTAGACCAGGCAACGCTCCACGCACATCGATCCCTATACCGTCAGCTACCGCTTTATCGTTGAGCTGCCAACAGAAGAAGGAGAAGCCAAGCAGCGTCATGAAGTCGTCGCCCAGTTTGGAGCCATTGAAAATGAGCTAAAGGTTTGTGGTTTTTAAATGAAACATTTATGTTATTAGGTGACCGTAGACGGCCGCACGGTGGATGTGAGTGGAAATATGAATCTGGCTCAGTCGACGCTTACTCTCGAAGTCAACAAGAAACCCGTTACCACCCAAATTGTTGCAAAACGTGCCGGTGAAATCACGGTTCTCTACAAGGGAACTCCCTTCAAGGTATAACTCGTCTCTTGATATTAATGCAGTGGCTATTGACAGATCAAAGTGCTGCCTGAACAAGCGGTAGAATACCTGCAGCATATGAAGGAGAAACCGAAAATGGACATGTCGTCTGTCATCCTTTCTCCAATGCCTGGTGCTATCAAGGTACCAAATTTGCATATTCTGTTATTTTTCTTTTATAGAACGTCAACGTCAAAGTCGGTGATATGGTGAGCGAAGGCCAGGAGTTGGTTGTGATGGAGGCAATGAAAATGCAGAACTCGTTGCACGCCGGAAAAACCGGAAAGGTAGGGTGAATTGTCCTGCGGCCTCAACAATCTTCATTCTAGGTCAAGGCAGTCAACGTGAAGGTCGGTGATACCGTCGACGACTCTGTTGTGTTAGTCGAGCTCGAATGAGTATAGAAGGACCTGCTTACAATACTGGTAGTTGTGACGCATTTTTGTCATTCCCTTAGGTTATGTTGTATTTGTTTTCTCTTTGGCGTATATTCTACGTGTGCTTGGATTAAGTGGACTGCGTGAACTTGTGATTAATAAGAAAATGGTTCGAGTTGGCATAAAGATTGTGTCGTTTTGGACAACGGGTGGTCACTGGATTTTATTTGAAACACAATGAAAAACCGAATAATTTTTTTGTTTTTCTTTGCCAGATTCCAATGCGCCAAGGCCAAGAATATTTTGAACAGTTTATATCTCGCTTTGAAAAAATTTTCGTCCAGGCCAAAAATTAACTTCTATTGTTGAACGTCGTGAAGGCCAGGGAGTGAGAGATTTGTTTAACCTAATCAATCGAAGGTTCGTTTTTTAAAGCGTGGCTCCAACCTGTGCGTAAATGTTGTCCAGCGTCTCATTGCTGTGCGTATCGTTATGGAAATCCTGGAGCGTATCTGCGACCAATTGGCGCAATCCTTCCAGGCAGTAGTATTGCGCTTCTCGCTAAAATAGCGGGGGTTTTGCCGATTTATTCCTGACAATGATACTGACCTGAATTTGTCTCAAAAGGCTCTCATCTCGCGGCAAAACGGCTTGACGACCATCTCTCATGTATTGCAAAACGTAAGCGAACAGTTTTCCATCACGATTCAGAAAGATCGCCCCACTTCCGTCGTCCTAAAATTGTGTTTATCGTTACTTTTCCTCTAAAAATAAGATCCCATTTTTCAAATCTATGCAAGATCCTGAAACAACCGGAAATTTATCAGTTCCGGGCAACGCCCTCGAACAAAAGGTCTGAATCACGCTTATCGCCTTGGGTACTTTCCTACTCACCATTCCTGGACACCTTATTTTAGGTAAAACCCCCACAAAACTCACAATAATATGAGCATTGAAACGAACAACCTTCCCACTCCGCGAGTCGATCCTAATTACGGGATTATTGATAATCGCCCTATTGCCAACTTGAGATAGTGACCGAAAAAGCTGGAATGGACACGGGCCACCGTCTCATATAACGTCGTGTAGTGGACACCACCAACGTTCAAGCGCAGCAATTCGGTGGCATGGTGGAGGGTATAATTGGTATTGTCGATCATCTAGAGGGACGATTGGGTGGATTAGCTATTTGTAGGTCTATGATGCAACCTCAGCTGTCTCGAAGCGAAAATCTTTCGAATTGCGGGTGCCATAGGCTGAGATTGGTTGTTGGCTTTGTGGGATATGATGGGTGGAGATGCGTGGTCGTTCGATTGATCGATGTCTGTTTGATGACATCTTTGGCTAAAAGAATTAAGGGGTGTTTGTCTTAATTTAAGGATGATGAGTATGGAAATCGCTAAAGAAAAAGATTGTGAGTGTAATTTAAGTACCACGTTGCAAGTTGGCACGGAGTACATTAAAAATATTTCCTGTTAGATTTTATAGCAATGGCGTAAAAACATCATAATGACAAATCGACAACTGGATTTAATAAGTGATTTAAATCCTTTAAAAACCATAAAACGAGCGGATAAACGAAGGATAAAGCAAAGGTGCTTCCGATATTTGCACATGCCCAGCCAAAAAAAGCCCGAGCATGCGATAAAATGGCTTTTTGATGTAAAACAAACCAGCGATAGTCAATACTAGCCGACGAGACTGGCGTAGAGAAGCGCCGTCGTGGCGTAGCAATGCCGTCCCCTTGTTGATAAGGGCGGCAATGGAGGGCTCCTCGTAAACTTCGAAAATGCTTGATTCCGCCTGTCAGATGCGGTCATGAAGCGCGAGTCGTGTAAATAAGATAACGTACCGCATAGCTTGATAGATTAAGCTCTGCGATGAGGGGGAGGTGTGGGAACTTGGTTGAAGAATGTTTCGGGAAATGGGTGTTGGATTGATTGGTTTATCAGGTAGGAGATGTGGTTAATGGGATTGTGAAGGATCTTTTTGTGTGATTTAAGTTTTTCCCTTCTGGACTTCGAGCGGGGGGGGGGGGTGGGGCGGAACCATATTTTTCCTAGAAACGCATTTGAAAGAACTTTGCCGGGTTTTTGACTTCACTTTTTGGTCCAAAATTGATGAAAAGTCACCAAAAGATAAAAACCCGATCAAGATTTTTGTAATTTTCTAGCTATAAAAACTACTAAAAACATCTTAAAAATACTTTATATTCTATAGTAATAGGCTTCCCCCGCAATAAAATTAGTTTCCCCCGCTAACCCCCCGCTGACAGCTCAGTACCCATCTTTCTTGCAAATATCTTTAATGTTCAATTTTTTTGAGGTTCTTTTACTGACACCTTACCGTGACCAGTTTCCCCACACGATCTTCGTCGGCCTGGAAAACACTCGAATATCTGGGCAGTTGGCACGCAGGGATGGAGCCAGCCGGGTAGAAGGAGAGGGGATGCTCCCTCTCTAAGCGTCGCCTAATCGCGTTCGCGCCACCGTAATTGGCTTACATGGATCCCCAAGCCCTGTGTCCCACCTCGCTTGCCCTCGCCCCCCCGATCCTCAACTTTTGCGCAGATTTGCATAACTGGCTTTCCGTTCGCTTCTCTGGAGATTGAGTGATAGCCAGGAAAAGAGATAATATTCGAGAAGCCTACAAAAACCAGGCCTTTCTTTCCAAGGTTCAAAAATTTATCATCTGCACTCTATAAACACCAAAGATAATAACATGACTGGACGACGTTTTTGCAGCTACTCTTCTTTCGTCTCTCTAGAGGTTGTACGATACGTTAGAAAAAACTACAAAAAAAGCTCATCCAGTAAAGCCTAGAAAAAGATGTCGAAAAATGGGCTAGGCTTTTCTAAAAACCAAACCATCTGCAATTGATGAACCCAAAAACAAAATTTATGACTATGCCTATCTTGCATCATAGAAGCAAAACACCAAAATAGAACCCTAACGAGGACCCATTGTTGCCTCCACGATTCCCCTCATCGATTGACAACCCTGTAAAAGAAAATAAAAATAAAATAAAATTACAAACCGCTACTATCCCTACCCGGTCCTACATGCTTCAGGCATTATGGTAGAATGGAATTGGACCCGATGCGACGGCAACAGACTGCCCGCAATTGCTAATTGCGGCTGAGGGGGCGCCCCCTGATCCCCAGGGATCTCTGCTGGTTGTCCGCTGACCATCGTGGACTGATCGCGTCAAACTGTCGGGTGTATTCTTCCGCTTTAAAGTGAGTTTGGTGATCAGGAAATGTATTTAGTAAATCACTGTACTACAGTAACCCTAGAAAAGTTCTAAAAGTAATTTTTTGACATGTTAAAGGTGTCCTAGGAAAATCAGGAGATGCATCTGGAACTTCTTGAGCAACCTAATAAAACAGTATAAAATAGGTTTAAAGCGTCGCCTAAAAAGCTATGCCAAAGTGAGGATGAGAAAAAGCTGGCAACAACTCAAAGCTTTCTGGCTTCGTCTAGATGGTAAAAATTACTCTTGTAGTTACTTTACGAAACCCGTGTTGATATTCGTTTGATTACAACATAAAGATAGTATTTATTTTTGGTATTTATATCGGGTATTTATATTTATAGTATTTATATGTATTTTTGGAGCAGCAGGATCTCTGTAGCAAAAAAATAGATATCACTCAAATACCCTAGCTAGCACCGTTTTTAGCCCAACAACGGAAACCCGATTGCCCGTCACGGATTTTGATAGAGATCCAATTTTCGGGGAACCCCAGAAGATGTCGAGCAGCATCTGTCCATAGGTCCCCTCCTGGGCCCTGTGACTGGATGGGCGGTACCCAGCCCAGGGCGGTGGGTGGGCTACGGTGGGTCCTTCTTGTTGCGGGGTGGCCCAGTGCCTCAGCTCGTTAGGGCCCAATTCAAGGCCAACCCTCGGACCCGTCCGTCTACCCCCTTCCTCCTCCCTCAACGCTTCGTGCTCCTCTAACCCGCTGAAGGCCCCCACCCGATGGAGGTGGCCTTCCCACCAGCCGCCGACCACGACATCCCCTCGATGATGCCCGAATTCACGGCGTCGGCGCCGCAACTCGATTCCGAGATGAATGTGGCCGAGTTCGGATCGGAGGCAGCACCGCACAGCGGCGACGCAATCAAGGTGGGCTGCCGCCGTCCAACAACCCGCTGATTGCTTCGCGCTGCCAAGCCTTTTGCTTCTTCCAGCACATCGCGTGCTTCTGGCTTTGGCCACCCCAATCGGCCAGTCCAACCCTCCCGCTCCAATCACAAGTCACCGTGCTGCTCAAAAGTCACTCTCATACTCCCGATTTAGCCAGGAACATGATTTTTGCGCGGTTTAATGACTTTTTTTTTGGTTTTTCCTCGCTAACAGTAGCTCTTGAAAAAGATATAGTGGGTAGTTAATTTGAAGGATTTGATAGAACCCGCTAGGAAAAATACAGTCTCTGTAAAAGCCATGCGGCCACATCGTCTTTTTCAATTGTTTTGCTTGCTTGATTTTCATGCAAAACCACGTAGCAGATCTTGTAGCGTGTGAAAACGAATGTTTAATTTTACTTATATTTGATCTCAATTTAAACGCGAAGTTACAAACATAGGGAAAAATGGGGAGCAAAACCTTAGTGTCAAAACGATAGAACCAAACTTTCAGTAATATTATTAACATCAATTTCGAGCCCGACACTTACTTTCGGACGTCCATTATATGCTAATTTTTCTATTCTATACAAACAAAACACGAATTAAAGCCGGCCAATGCCTATAATTGGCGCGAAACTTTCCTTTACCTATTTTCTTGTTTCGTATTCTCTTTTCACGAGCCAGAAACATTTCAAAACACCACGAAAATACATCAAAACAACTCTCAAATGACGTGATCTCACAACAATCACTTGTTTGATCAAACTAAAAACTAAACCTAAAACTTTTCTGCGAATAGATGACGTCCCGAGAGATATTTCCTCGTGCCGACCTAAAAAATTAAACCCAAATTTGATTCGATCAAATTAAAAACCCAGCGCTTCCCCGGGGACCGTTTGCGCGCGTGATAGAGGTTCAAACGTTAATTCGAGTCTGTTTTGTATCCACGAATCTAATTAAAAAAGAACGGGTTTACATAATCGTATTTTGCTCAGACCTTCTGAAGCCTATCATCTAAGACCACTAAAAATAAATAAAAAACCGAAGATGTTCAACGGCAAATTTTCAGACCTTCCAACCGTTGATAGGAAGCTATGGGCAGTGCGCCAGTTGCGATGGTGTTATTTCGGATCGGGTGCTGCTCAACGTCAATGGATCTGCATTTCATGTTTGCTGCTTACGGTAGGCGGTCTATTGAAAGTTGAAATATGTTTTTAGATGTACCGGATGTGAGGCGGCGCTGGAAAATATGCCGAGCTGTTATTTCCGAGAGGGGCAGGCTTTTTGTAAGCCATGTTATGGGAGGTTGGTTGTTTCTTACGGCTCTCTTTAATGCATGGGAAAATTGGGTCTCGAGAGTCTTTAGTTTGTCAAAGTATTAATTACGATTAAACGGGCTTAGTCGATCAATAAAATCCAAATGTCCTGGTTAATTAAATTTCATTTTAGTTATAGAAGCAAGTTGAACTGTTTTCTCCTACTAGCGCTCTGGAGACACCGAGTATTGCAATAATTTTTACACCATTATAAAACTCTGGAAAAGGCAAGAAAACAAGCGACTTCCGTTGCGAAAATATTTCGCTTGGCACCATATTAAACGCTTTCCTTGAAAAAACAATCGTCTTGGCCGCTTGAAATTGGCAATTAACATGCATATTTCGCATAGATCTCGCGTGTTCATCGTTTTGCTCGTAAAATTCAAGATTTATGAAGCTTAATTTGGAAATGAATTACGTTTGTTTCTCGTTTGTCGATAGGTTTTAATCGATACCTAACTCGGTCGCGTTTCCTCCGACAGCTGGGGGTTTTTGGGGCACCTTTAAAATTATGCTTCATTATTTGCATCCCACCTTCATTTTACTTACTTCCTTGCTCAACCTCGTCTTACCGCATTACCATCCACAACAACCAAGGGGCTAACTGGCGACAATGTGCAGCCAGTTGGCACCAGAAGGGATGGTTGATTCAATTGGTCTCCCTCCAGCGTGTCCCTCTCTTTCGTTCTTTCCCCTTCTTTTTCCAATGTTCCACCCATCTGTGCAGGTGTCTTGCGCAACATTCAGGGCCCTCGTTAGCATGGAGGCCCCTTATGGATAGATCCCCGTTTGCCCGTGTCTCTCTCACAATTGGCCCCTAGTGGGTCTCATGTAACCGAGCGGTAAGCTGTGGATAATTGAGGACAGATTATGGATACCGGCGATTGGGGT